GGAGTAGAGCGTGGATGTATTCATGTCGTCGTACGACATCCTGCCGTTGCACGAGGCAGAAGTATGGAAGACCCAAACGATCATATGGCGGAGCTCAACAAAGGTAAGGCTACACCACCTGATATAACGCCTAGCCAACTCTAACGGGTAACAAGAACTTGAGCTAGTGGAGGTGGATGCCCAGATCAAGCATTCATCCCGAGAGCTGCAAAATTCCCAGAAGATGCAGGAACAGGTGATGCTGAACGTCAGCAGGCTAAGCTCTGCCCACTCACGCGGGACCTTGCCAATGTTAGGCACGCAGCAGACAAAGCAGCAGGTAAGCCATCTGTAGACTCATCGTCTTCTTTGGCTTCTACTTTTTGTATGCAGAGGCCCACAGACGTGCATCTCAACATAATACTTCCCTCAGCGACAACAGTCTAGCCGAATATCGCTCACTGTGAGTCCTGCACGTCAGCGTATCTTTGCAGTGTTAACGCCACAAACAGAAAAGCATCTGCTAGCGTCCTTGCCGTTTCTGAGCGTCAAGCTCTGGAGACACTCAGCTGAGACGAGAAGACTGCGTCCCGGATCTCGCTCGAATCAACACTCACTCTAGATGCCGAGATCGCATCGTCAACAAACGAACTGCGAACCAAGACTGGCGTTATCGAGGCCGCGATTCAAGTTCTCGAAAAGAAGATCCTCGAAATCGGTGGCTCCAAACTGCTGAAGCAGAAGTCCACCGTTGACGGTATTCGCTTGCTGCACCAGCTAGCTAACGAAGAGGTCGCAAAGGCTGAGGTCATGAAGGCCACTGCAGAGAAGAACATCGTGAAGTATACGTCCGCCCTTGAGACCAACCGTGCGGCGCTGGAGGAAGTTGAGAAAGAGCTCGAGGAGCTGAAGGATCAGCTGGCTGATGTCGCGCAGTATCTGGAAGATCTCAAGGAGAAGGTTGAAGCCGCGCAGACTACTCAGGAGAGCTCGAAAGACGACCTCGATTCACTCAAGCGCCAACTCCAGGAAAAAATTGATGAGTTCCGAAAGAAGGAGGTTCGTTCTTTGCTATCCGCTGGATATTCAGGTACTTGCTCTTAGGAAGTACCAGCGCTGACGTGCAGCACGTGATCGTGTTCAGCGGTTCTCCCATTTATTTCTGCTTCACCAATAACCAGAGCGTTCTTTTTCTCCCTTCTTCTCTCACTGCCACCAATATTTGAGACATGTCTCATTCCACTCTTTCCGTACTTTTGGCCATCGCTGCACGCCAAAATTTGCCCTTGACCCACCTGACCCAACCCCCTTGTCGACAAGACCTATGCTTACCCGTCAGGAATCGTGAGTTTCAATTCCTCTTTCGTTGCATACCATGTTCACACAGGACTCAGGAGTCACTTTTCCAAGCCCTACCAAGTCGACTACAACACTGTCGCTATCGTAGCCCTCAGGTTGGTTACAACATCTGTAACTCTGCCACCGAGAACCAGAATTCCACGTGCCGCACCTCAATGGTGAACCACATCGACGGTGCGTCCTTCGCAAACACCGCACGGGTATACCGCTCATAATGTCAATATTCGTTCTTATTTTTCAGATTTCTGCTTGCGAGCGCCTTTCACCCTCCACTCCACTATCGGCGATACTGAGCAGGAGGAGGTTGTATGGCGCACTAAGCCTGGCCACGGCACTCGTGTCATCCTCAACGGTACCCTTCAGGGTGTTCAGTTAATCCGCACGTCGGAGTACATCTAGATCGCTGGTTTCATTGACTAGAAAATTGAAACGAACGCTCAAGACTACGGAGCGGAGGTGAACTCGACCCGCACGGTGCTGATCTCGTGAGTCTCTTCTTATTACATTCGATCAAGGTTAAGCTGACTTTCATCCAGCATGGGAACCCTCTTGGAGGCTTAATGTCAGCAAGTCATCGACTGGACCCTCGTGCGGTTATTCAAGCAGGTGCTGCGAATTCTCAAGGCGTCCTAGAGATAAGTGATATGGTCTTTACCACTGCAGGCCCTGGTACGCGTGGAAATCGTCTATTTTATTCTGAAGCTGATCTCTCATAGCTCCCGGTGCCATAATGATCGAGTGGAACGCGCACGATCCATCTGGTCAGCAAGCGGCTGCAGGAATGTGGGACAGCCATATTAGGTTGGTTTTGATTCTCTCTTGGATTTGGGATGCGCTAACGACGATGGTACAGATTGGGTGGAGGTAAATCTTTCGAGATTTGGTGATGGAGAAGCGTTCTGATTCTTCCTTGTTAGCTGCCGGAACGAACATGCAGTATTCGCAATGTCCCTCAGGCTCTGTCAATACTTGGGATATATTTGACTTCTGGATCGAGCGCATACCTTGAAGTATGTGGATCAGAAGCTCCCAAAACCCCTAATTTGATATTGTCGCGTAGGGAACATGGGTCTGGACTGCCGACCACGATCTTGATACTCCCGGCTCTTCTGACATCTCGATCTTTACTGGTCGCGGAATTTTTTCCGGGTCTCAGGGCCCGGTATGGCTTATTGGCACATGTGCGTGACCTTTGTGACTCTCGTAACCTCGCTCTGACAATTTGACCATAGCTTGTGAGTGATCACCAGACTGGGACATTGTCACCGTGCTTATTAAACTAGCTGAACACGCTGCGCTGTACCAGTATAGCCTGGTGAACGCTCAGAACCACTATATTGGCTTTGCCCAGACTGAAATGGTATGGACTGATCTTCATATCAGGTTCATTCCATCTGATGCCGCCCAAGCCATATTACCAACCCTCTCCAGCTGCCCCAGCACCTTATAGCACTGTCTCATCCTACAATGACCCTACCTTTTCGAGTCCGACCAACATGGCCTGGGGAACGTACATCCAGTCTTCAAACAACATCATCATATTTGGTATTCACTCTAACTTCGCTGCTCTTGTACGCCATTGATGATCACACGTACAGGAGCAGGCTTCTATAGCTTTCCCCCCAAGCTTCATCAGCAAACTCGTAAAGCAATAGTGAAGAGACAACCAGCCCTGATGACCGCTATTCGTAAGTTTAACTCTTATTGTGAACGCCTAGACAGCCTCTACGACCCTTCATGGGGGATACAACTTCCAATGGCACTTCCGACCAAATTAGCGGATTTGCGCAATGACTAGACCCTAATGGAGGACGTCTGGATTACGCCCTCTGCAGGAGGCATACCACGCTGGTTGGATGGTTCGGATGTGAGAGATGGAATCCGCGCCCTCCTCAAACACGATCGATGTCAAGAGGAACAGCAGCGTCTCAGTATTGAAGCTGACAACCTGGGCCGTTATTTTGGAGATGAGCTCTCTGCTTTAGAGCTTGCACTTTCTTCTGATGCAAGTAAGTGACACCGGCGCTTTATTCCACCATTTTCTGACGCTTTCAACAGATCAAATATTGATATTCTTGCTGCAAACCCGCCGAGACCACTTTCTTCAGCTTCAATCACGCTGGGTAAATCCATTTGCTTCTACGGCTCGCTTTTCCAGCTGCGCCAAAGAAGTTTCAGATCTCGCGAAGTCACTTACACGAGGTGCAACCGGCGAAGCTAACCTCGGTTTGATTAATGATATTCTATCGCTGGAAATTGATCACCAAGACGACGACATCCCAGACTTCGAAGCAGGGCCATCAGATGTCGACGCACATCAAATTGCATTTGCTGACTTCCTCGAAGAAGACGCCATTGCTCACGAAGATTGCATTTGCTGACTTCCTCGAAGAAGACGCCATTGCTCACGAAGATGCAGAAGATATCGACATCCCAGACTTCGAAGCAGGGCCATCAGATGTCGACGCACATCAAATTGCATTTGCTGACTTCCTCGAAGAAGACGCCATTGCTCACGAAGATTGCATTTGCTGACTTCCTCGAAGAAGACGCCATTGCTCACGAAGATTGCATTTGCTGACTTCCTCGAAGAAGACGCCATTGCTCACGAAGATGCAGAAGATATCGACATCCCAGACTTCGAAGCAGGGCCATCAGATGTCGACGCACATCAAATTGCATTTGCTGACTTCCTCGAAGAAGACGCCATTGCTCACGAAGATGCAGAAGATATCGACGAAGTGGGAAAAGTCAGCATTACCATCTGTTGGGCAGTCCCGGAGGTACGCCACCATTTACCATCTTCTTTACTCTTTTGAAACCATTGATAGGTACTCCAAGTTGATGAAGCGCCTGTGCCCTACAAGGATCCGAGCTTCACTGCGCAAGGGCCAGGTGCAGCTAGGATATGGCCCTCTAGACATGACTTCCCGCGACAAATATTTGATCCAAGGGATATCTCCTTCCTCGGTTCCCCTACTGCACGCCTCAATGACGTGCGTCTCAACGGCTGTGCAATCTTGTTGCATGACGCCTACATGTCCACCCCTGTAGCACAGCGCGCTGCCATTTTCTCTACTCACGACCTTCCACGTATTAGATACAACGCACCTGATGAGATCCTCTGGCGTCAAACTTCGTGGACACGTTATTGGGAGAAGGAGGTCTGGATATTGCCCATTCATCGGCCAGCTCCTGTTGGTCATTGGGTACTCTGCGTTATCCACCGATCCTCCAGGGAATTCTATCTTTTTGACAGTTTTGCTGAAGAGCGCGCTTGGCAACATGACATCAAGGTGAGGGCTCAGCTGTTATGGTATATGCAGGAATGCTGACGTTATCCACATAGGCTATTATGACGCTAGCGTCTCGTCTACTATCTATTGCTCGTCAACACCACCCTGCGGTATCACTTGATCTTGGAGGATGGGTAGCTCGTCCACTTATCGTAAATTTATTTGTCATGAAGTCTAAGCTTGAAGTTTCAACTTATATCAGCAAAAGATCTCGACGGTCTTCCTCGACAGAAATCGTGCCACTCTCCGTCAAGTCCACGTTGAGAGTCCTCAATCATAAAACATGGCCGAAATACACGATCAGTCCGTACCATACCATCCTCTTCGGTTCACAGGTTCGGGATCTGCGTTCTAACTCAAATCGTCTCGTGTATTGACTATGAGCATCGGCTTAGTACAGTCACCCCATAACAAGGAGATGTCGCGAATTGAACGTATACGCAGAGCTCATTCATTGTACGTCAAAGCTGGCAGATCTCAAATTCAAGCCCACAGGTTCACTCATGTGATGCAGCGTTTCTGACGCAAAATTCTAGGGATCATCCTCTCCGGATATCCATACTCTGCGCACGACGACGATGCACCGCACGTGTACCCTGGTATCTACGCTCTGGGCGTCCCTATCCTTGGCATGCGCTATGCCTTCCAGGTCTAGTTTTCTCGAGCATCTTCTTGGACGCTAACTCACGCGAGATACAGGAGATCTGCTGGAATCACAAGGGACGGGTAGCAAAATGCGATCATCGCGAATACGGACTTGCAGAAGTTCAGATCAGCAGGTCTAGTGAATCGGTAAGCTCTGTTGACGCCCTGTTTGAAGGACTCGGCGATCAGATGCAGGTGCGTGTCTTCGTTTCGTCTATCGAAAGCCAAGTTGACTTTTGATAAGGTCTGGATGTCACACGGCGATCAACTGTCCGTTATGCCTCCCGACTTCCATGTCATCGGACGGACGAACGCCGCTCCTTATGCTGCCATCGCACATAACTCGAAGTCGCTTCATGGCATTCAGTTCCATCCAGAGGTGACGCATTCCCCGCCAGGAAAGCAGTTCATTGATCGATCTGTGCTGAATATATGCCAATGCCGACCAAATTGGACAATGGTGAAGTAATTACTGCGTTGCGTTTATTTGTCATGCTCACTGCATTGCAGGAGGAATTTCCGCGTAGGCGTTCGATTAACGTCCTTGAGAAGCCCACCAACATTGTGATGTGTCGTTGCGGTCGCGCTAGGGCCCTTGAAACTGATGCTCCCGATAACATCTGGATATAGGGCTCCTTGCCTCTCATATAGGCGTCCAGTTCTTGAGCATGAGTCCTGCTAGCCTGAGCTGCGCCAATGTACGATTCGCCATGACGTAGCTTTCGCCCGTCAAGCAACGGATCTCGGGAGGGCCACCTCTTTCTTTCATTTCTATTCAACCTAGTACCAACTGCATTACGTGCTCAGGCTTCGGTCGGCTCCATAACAATACATGGCGTTTACAGTAGCAAGACTCTCCTTCCGTCGGTGGTATACCACAATACTTTACAGTAGCAACTCAGGAAATACAATATTAGCCGTCTTGTCCTTCGTTCGCCTCTGCGAATAGACACATCGGGTCTCTTCGCGTTCTTGCCCTCGATAGTGGCGCGTACAACTGACCGTGAGCCAAGGGATCCGTTCAAAGGTCGAGCGTGGTTCGTGCCAGCGTCAAGCCTTGACAACCATTAAATGTCGTTGCGTATGCGAGTCGCAAAGGAAACTGCCTTCGATTCACCGTCCACGACGAACAGTTTGGATGAAACGCAAAGTTAATGCCGGGAATGCAGTGGCTTTCGAAAGTATTGATGTGTCGGACTTCAATAAATCGAGCAATGTTTCTGACCAAGCCTTTTTTCACTGAGGGCAAATACAGTTCTGTTAGAGATCCAGGCGACGAGGAGATACTCCGCGATGGGTACGCCATAGTACTGAGCGCTAATCGATATTAAAGAGCGGCCGCATCAGCACGCCCCACGCGTTCATTCGTTATGGAATCAAATAAAAGTGAGCGACCTTTTAAGAATATAATAGCGCCGTCTCACAACACGACGAACGCGCCCACAAACGTCAAATATCAACGATGCCCACGCGAGACGCGCGACGTGCTATCTCGATTGGGTAGAGACCCCAATTGCCTTAGAACGATAAAAAAAACTGACGAAGAGGATATGGATCCCTCCGTCGCAACTACGGGGCTCGCAAGACCACGGTCAGGTCTATAGAAAGCAAACCGCGCCCGGTCAGCGCGCCTTTTCAGGCCTGAGAAGCGACGAATGAATCGAAAAATTAATGAAGAGAATATGAATCCCTCCGTCGCAACTACGGGGCTCGCAAGACCACGGTCAGGTCTATAGAAAGCAAACCGCGCCCGGTCAGCGCGCCTTTTCAGGCCTGAGAAGCGACGAGGGAATCGCAAAGTGGAAGAGACTCCACCCACCTCTTGTGCACTTTCTGAGAGCGGCAAATACGGATTTCGCACGCACGTATTATTTGTGGCCTTGACTGCACGACGCCATGGATCGGCTCGATATTCCCTGATTGGAAAGTCGCTTGCCAATGCTACTATCATCACGGCACAGTGCACACGGTGTTTCGATCCAATATTGCTTCTCATCGATCCGATCCTCGAGAATAGCGATCAGTGGGTCGAACTTCGACCGGTGTTAACGGAGTGCACGATTTGGGAAAGAGATCTACCAAGGACGTTGAGATGCGCGTAGAAGGAGAGCGGTGGGTATCTGCGCAACGACCGGATATCCACGCCGGCCTACCCCAACTAGTCAACGCACAAAATCAAAAACACGAGCAAAAAATACGACTCACTGGACAAAGCTTCTGATAGCCTGACGGGCTAGCCTATCCATGTAGTCTGACATATCGCTCTGTTGGACCACCGAAAAGGCATTTTGTCCGCTTTTGATAAATGCGGAGATATCAACGCAATGGTCCGAAGTAACCTGCCAAACGGTTATTTCGACTTCAGGGCGTTTTGCAAGTATATGCAGTAACGCTCACGAAAGCGGGCAGTGCTTTGTCCGTAATGAAAGGTCCGCAGATGTAGGCCACGAGCATTGCGAATTCATCGTTAGTTTCTCAAACGGAGGGGGAGATGATAGCAAGCGAACGACGAAAAGGCTTCGTTCCAAATCTCTGCGAATCGCTAAATATGGGGTTAAAGGCAAAAAGAATGACGCGTACGTTTGTGACGACTTGCGCTTAGCCCACCGAGCAATTTGGAGATAGAGAGTATGATCGAGATCGAAAGTAAGGTTGATCGTGCCGCGAGGTGACTCGAGCCCTTCCCGAAACATCATCGCAGCCATCTCCCCTGCAAATCTCGCACAAGCGACTTGCGGACAGACGTTATCTACTGGAGGGTGACGATATTTCGTCTCCATGGCTTTCTACACCCACATCTGAGGTTATGACATCTTCAAGTCGCATCCGCTACCAATAGGCAATACAGGATTCCCTTGGCCAGACCTTTGAAGAGCTCGCGTAGGGGTTCGATTAACGTCCTTGAGAAGCCCACGAACATTGCGATGTGTCGTGGTGGTCGCGCTAGGGCGCTTGAAACTGATGCTCCCGATGACATCTGGATATAGGGCTCCTTGCAATTGCGCGCTGAGATCGTTATGGAATAGGCCCGGTCCTCCAAATCAGCGGCGAGAAATCGAGTTATCGGAGCAGGATCTTCAAAGTTCTGAGCGATGGATGCAAATAGGTCATGAATTTGCTCTCAGGAGAGCAGTGATAACTATCGGGATCTCGTCATCCTGGTACGCGGGAGGAACTTCGGTAGTGGACTTACTAACTGAGGCTTCTAAATCCTGCAATGATCTCGAAAGTTCAACGACCTCAGACCACTCACGCAACGCTATGGAATCCATTACCGGATCGCCCGCGTAATCGGCTTCCCAACTGACTCCGCTTTAAGAAGAGGTGATTTAATTTTTCTCGTTGTTATAGATGGCGTTTGGAGTATGGTTAGATTGTGCTAGGGCAGATTAGTAACGACTCATAAAGGCGGATAAAAACTCATTGTGGATCAGCCAAAGTAGAGATTGAGAACTTCACTACCGCTCGCTGATGAGATCGGCCCTAAGGCGCCTTCAGCGATACGTCCAATGCTGGAAATCAGCTTCCAATGGGTAAGGTTTGCTGACTGGAGCTCTCGGAAATTGTGTTCGCCTCGCCTCCAGTTGGTTGAGTAACAGGATCTAGAGGGATCTCGGAAGTGAAGACTAGAACAAGCGCCTCGGTTTTGGAGGAAGACTGCCACACAAGATTGAGTAGTCTCATCGAGTAGAAAGAACGTCTACTTCAAGTTTCAGGGCGCCGGAGCCTGAGTCGAGGTCGATGACAAGGGCAAGGTGGCGAACGGGATAGACCGTCGGGCTAGAATAAATTTAGAACCGAAGAATACTCTAATAAAAGGAAAAACTGACCATGATGTCTCCGGCTGCGTTTAGATACCGTTCGACGCATTCGCGGTCGAAAATATGGGGGCATTTGGATAGCATCTTCCGCGACGTTACTGCAGAATCTACGGATCCCAACTCTGTCAGAGCCCCAAAATCGGCTTCCATTAGTCTTGCTCCGGAGTACAATATTTGAGTCGCAAGCCATTTGCCCCATGCGAAGTGAGCCTGCGGGAACTTGAAAATCATGCGAGGTAAGAGCCCAAAGGACTCACCAACTGAAGGTATTGAAATGGTCTCCTGGAAAAACGTTAATGGTTAGATCCAACGCGACCTCGCTGTTCAAACCCGTTCCAAAGTCAATGTATGTGCTGAACTAGCGTTTCGCATCTGAGAAGAGCGAAAGAAAAAGCTCTTTCTCCAGGACGGAAGTAATCTCGACGTACAATGAACCTACGAGGCGCTAAGTCCAAGTCATTAGTTTGTTGAATCTGTAGCAACGATTCAGTTTCAAGCCCGTGAATAAAATACAAATTTATGCTCCTGAGTAGGCGTCTAGAACTGGTGATTCCAGAAGCAAGTCTGAACGACGCTGATTAGCGGGGTTTGTAAATCGTTGTGATGACCACGCATTTTGCAGACGTTGTGGAGAGCGTCACTGATTTGAACGTGATCAACGATTCTAGACGCAGATCAGTCCGTGCGTTTACATACTGGAGGACGATCAATGACTTACTTCATGTTGTCGATGAGCTGTCGACCAAACTGTTCCGAGTTCGGCGCGGCTGTGTAGAATATAGCCTCAAGCGACATACCTGTCAACCAGTCCCAATCGCCAAGCGTCAAGTCTAGTGGAGCCTCGACAATCTCGCAGTCTTGAATGCTTAGTTCTGTCAGTGGTTGCCGACAACGTCGTATAACATCGCCTTCGGATATATGGGGTCGGTCGCATCAGAACGAGTGGATCTGTTCAAAGGATGATCATGTCGACTTTGGGCGGTCTCAAACCTAAGCTCTAACCCATGACGCTGCAACGATAAAGATCAATGTTTTTAACTCACGGAAACGTTGCGACCTACTTGATGGCCCCAACAATTCGACATCCGGCGCAGCGAGGGTAGCCATGGGAGGACAACGATCTATTTGCACGGAAGGTCAATGGAATTATGCGTGAGTGCAAGATCATGGTACATACAGGCGGGAAGTTTGGACGCGAGGGTACCGTATACGTGGAGTCGTCGCATGTTTGACGTTGAGAAGATACAGTTGAAAAGTTTGCATTCCCGGCGATGTTGTTCTACCAGCTAGTGAGACGCTGTATTAGAAGAAGAACTGAAGTTACCCAGTGCTGCAGTTCGGTACTCTGACGATTTTGCAAGACAAACTGCTGTACTTGATCGAAAATGTCTCGTTGAAAGCGTGTAAGAACTAACACGGATTAATTGTTGGTTGTCGACAGGAAGAGCGGAGAACTGTACCAAGCTTGACACGCTTGCGCACAAGTTTCATTTCTTGGACGCGTTTGCTCCGCTTTCCCTTGAACCAATTCGAGTCCGCGTATTCTTTCTCAAAGATCTCTCGCTCCCATATAGTAGTTTCGTTCAGGACGACCTGCAGTCGCTTGGTATTAATGACCCCACCCTCGTTTTATCTGAAACAGTCGCTAAGCCAATGTGCGAAAGAATGAAAGTTCAGGACTTACCCAGCGACGGGAAAACTTTCTTGTACGCATCAAACAGGCGTTCCGGTCCGTTCTCGTGGATGTGTAAATCTGGAAGATTAGGTAGAAAATCGTTTCCGACGAAGACGGCCAGGAGAATGAAGTCATCGATGACTCGCTCTAGGCTTTAATCAAATGCAAGAACGTCTTCTATATCACGAAACTCGAGGTCCAAGTATTCACGCATTAGCGAGAGATGTAGAAGGTAGAAGTCGAGGTTCTCCAGACTTGCGCCGGCGTTCAGTTAATCTGCCTAGCACAAAAACTACGAAATACCTGACGTTACCCTTCCTCTTCGCGGCAGGCCCGAACTTTACTTGCTCTCGCAAGAGACAGAAGTGTGGATCATGACTCAGAGGGCTAAGCATGATGAGATCGGCATCAGGACCGTACAAACAATGCCGCACGTTCGGGTTATAATCAGGCTCTCGGTGGTCGAATGTATTCCATGATCTTGTGTTCACCTTCACCCGGTGCTTCATGACCGGATAATACAGCTTGCACGCCACGCCAATTAGTATCTTCGGTAATCTTCTTGTTGACAAAGTATCATGGCTGCGCGGATAGCCTGACCGTGAAAGGAGCGCCTAAGACGGAATAAATGATATGATGCCATATGAAACGACGCAGAACGCACCTGGCGTAATGTAATTACTATCAAAGGCCTTCTCATCTGGTAGTTCTTCTCCTTTCGACTCAGCCTTCTCTCTGATTTCCTTTGCTTCCTTGGCAGCGCGAAACCGTCGACTTCGTTACTGATTCATCTTTGCCCGGGGTGCCACGCCGTCTACTGCAATAAATATTTGCTTTTCGGACATCCTAAAGTGCGCATCTTCATCATTTGGATGCGAGCTCAAAACGAAAGTTGAACACGCCAGTCTACGCTGCATCTCAAATAATCAATCACAGTTGTGAATGATTCCATTGAAGTCGAGATACATATTATCTATTTGAAGGCTTCAGCGCGAGAACACAGGGTTGGTATGATAGCTCACCAAATTCTGGATTGTTCTCCTTGATCAACTGGGAGACAAGTGGGTACCGTTCACATCAGATAAATCAGCTTCTAGGGTCAAATGACAGACTCCTGGCTCACGAAATATGTAGTGCATCTCATAAATAAAGGGATATGTATGGTTCACGACTTGCACGGGATGGTCAGGATATTTATGACAAGGGCATGGAGAAAAACACGCGGCTTCTCCGTCGTGACTTGATATCTTGCAGTGATGCATCGATAAATATTTTCTTGGTAAGATGGGAGTTGCAACGTTGGGGACTTGCCGCGTGATCAAGCGGCGTTACAATATGGTGTCGTACAAAAGCGCAAGCTCAGAAGTTCAGAACAGGGCGTTTGCCAGAAACGCGAAGTTTCCCACGGGTGCCTATGGCTTCTTGAAGACGGTCTTCCTCGACAGAGATCGTGCCACTCTCCGTCAAGTCTGCCTTGAGAGTCCTCAATCACAAAACATGGCCGAAATACACGATCAGTTCGATACCATCCTCATTCTTTACTTCGGTTCACAGGTTCGGGATCTGCGTTCTAACTCAAATCGTCTCGCGTATTGACTATTAGCGTCGGCTTACTAGTATTACAGTCACCTCATAACAAGGAGATGTCGCGAATTGAACGTATACGTTGTATGTCGTTTGCAGCTTGATTGGCGGCAACTTACCTATTGTATCATGTTGTAAGTAACTTCTTGGCACGAGCCCAGTCTCCTTCCTTGGTATAGATCTTCGCCATCATCATAACGGCACAGTCGAATTCTCCACCAGTCAATTCCAGGACTTTGGTGAAGTCACTAAGTACGCTCGTGTGACGGTTTAATGAGAAGTAAGCTGTAGCTCGCTTGCGGCGTAGAACCGTACTAAGTTGATCTGCAGGGGAGAATTTAAATGAGATGACGTCGGGGTTGTTTTCACTGCATTGTTAAATTGTCTGAAGCGTTGATGAAGCGAGCCCAGATGACCATCGAGGTGTCTCAACAAACGGGTTCAGAGAGCAATACTAGTAGCCCAGCGAACGAGTGCATTCGCGTCGTCGCGACGATGAAGTTATGAACGCTTGAGAGCCAGTGAAGTCCGTCACGGTCACGTGAGTCATGACTGACCTGTCACAACCACGATGAGATAATGCTCAGTGCCTGCCCAGAAAGCTACAACTTCTTCTGCAAGTTCCCGTGGTTCCTAGTAAGTATTGGCTGTGTCTGGGATTTTTGGTGCCCTACCGGAGCGCCTCTGATATTCTCTACCCACAATGGACCATGGCCGCCCGAGTCACTGGCGCAAATGTATATCACCAGCATCTCATAGCACGCCGTGATGGAGTTGCTTCTGATAGAGGTTGTAGCTGCGTCTTATTCTACGCCTTATCCAGATTCTCATGGTAAACTTCCGACGCTCTGGATTCTAGTGTGGTGACTTCGTCGCCCTTCATTGGCCAAGGCTCGGCACTTCCTACCACAACACAAGGTGGGTTGAGTCCCATCAATATTTTATGTTGGAACATGAATGGCGTCCCCGATACTAAATCGTAATTCTGCAGATTGTTCATGTTAAAGTATCTCTCTGCCTTGATGGATTAATACTCCAATCGCGCCCTTATGCCATGATTTACCTTTGAGCAAGAGCCTTGGACGACCAGTTGGATGATTTGGCTAGAGGCTCAAATAAAGGTAACTTAAGTTGTTCGGCCAGCGCTACTGACATAAAATCTGACAGGGAACCGAAGTCCAGTAATGCCCTGACCGGTTTACCATTGATGTGGACTACCACCACTACGGGTTTGGGTATCTGCTGTTTGAAGTCCTTGGCGACTGCGGCGCTTCATTGTAACTTGTATGGCAGGGTAAGCGCCAGCTGGGATCTGCTGACTGTTAAGCTCAACTATCAACAGGTGAGATTCATTGTACGGGAACCTGGCATCCGGCGCAGGCGCGTATATGTTTATCGCTGTTTCCTCAAGCTGGGGTTCTTCTGGCGTCAGTTCTCCATGATCAAGGAGCCGAAGAACGTCAACCTCTACTGCGCGTTCAGCCAGCTCATCGCATAGCGACTCGTGAGTCAACGCCAGCTTCTTTTCGTATCATTGAGCTAACTCGAATTTAGGGTTCTCCATCAACGAGGCAGGTACCTCGACCCTGTAAGCAAGCACAACATCTCTAATCTCGTACGATCCATCATCGTGCTGAGCGCACTCGAAACGGCGTGGTCTTGCGTAGTCCGGTGGGTCCTTTGGATGAGCCCATGTTCCCTCAGTAACTGGACTGCGCGAACCGTGAAAAAAAAGACTTCAAGTGAAATTCAATGCCGCGCACGTCTTGCCTCCATTCCCTGACCTCCTTTGGAGTCATGCACCTTGTCTCGCGGAGGCTCTCGCCTGCACATGATGGCCCCGAACTCCGGTTGGATATTAAACTTCCTGGACTTTTTCTTTTCTCTTTCTTATCACTTGAACCTGAATGCTCTACCCCAACAAAACCAGACCTCTGTCCTAGCGCCGAATTCAGAGAGGGTCGCTGGTGCCGGAGAGCTGACCCAGCCTCTGCTACTAACAACGACGCTGCATCTGCCTCCGACTTCTCTTCAACCCATCTTCAGCCCTGCCTCCCTCCTCTATTTGACACCCACCCTTACAAACTCCAAACCCTATGAGCTACGGTGAAGGCGCCAGCGGTGGCTGCGCTACGGGCTTTAGCATCTTTCGTCCAACTATTGAACTTCCCTTGGATGATATTGCCCTTAACCCGGTCTTTTCTTTTCTGCAAATTTTTCACGTCGCTCCGGCAAGAAGCGCCTACTCACCGTCTAGTACTTACCATGCAGACTTCTGCCCCGAGGAAGTCCGTTCTCGTTTCTTCCATGTCGCCTCCCCCCGCGAAGAGCCTTTCTACACCCTGTCCAGCTCTGGTTTCTGTCCGCGCCCCAAATTCACAGGGCCCAACGGTATCACGCCGCTCTTCTGTGAAAGCAGCACTAGCAATGGGTCCAGAGTCTCGTGAGTCGCTGAATGTTGTCCTGAAGCACGGGATCTAAAAGAAGGAACAGGTGCGCTCTTAATCCCGAGAGAGCGTGTGCTTCACTGACCGCCACATCAGTTGCTCGTCCAAGTCCAAAATAAGCAGCAAACAATTGCCGGTCTGACACCTGAGAATGACCATGTCATGTCTGCCCTGAATGCGGCAGAATCTCACTTGAATGATCTGTACGGTGATCAGGCGCGGATGGAAGAGGCTGAGATGGCAGTTCGTATCTAAGTTTCTGAAAAGTTGCGGGCGCAAGTCAGGGAGCTTGTGCGGGAGAAACGAGATTTACAAAGACAATATAATGAGCAGGTTCGTTTTTGTCTCTTCTCGCACCTCATATCCATGGATGATTTGTAGACATCAACATTCGAGGCAGATTGCCCACGTCTACTCAGCCAACGGACTCAACGACGAATGCATCTGCCCACAATGACGCCTTGGATTAGGCTTATGTAATTTTTTTGGGACCAAGCAATTCGGGAAGTAGCCGATCTCGTTCAGCGTACAAGTAAGGATTCGGAGTCCAAACGTGCTTCTGACTTTACATGTACTCACACTCCTTCAGGTGAAACACTAGATCTCTGTGGTATGGCTTATGCAACGGGAGCGGGACTAGATACCACTGAAAACAATGCCCATCAAGCTTAGATCAGCAAAAGATCTCGACATCGCGAACGCTGGTTGTATTGGGATGACGGGCGACCCGAACCCCCTTCTGCCTTCTGTCCGCCGTCGAGTGATGGGTGACCCGTTTGTATGCCGAAATAGATCGGCTTTCTACTTGGTAGACATCTAGTATGTTTCAGAAACCACGTTACCATTCGACTGACGTTATAGTAAAGATCGGATCCCGCAAAACTATGTCGGAGTAAGGTACAAATCTATTGTCACCTTCATTAGAGCTGCTCATATGATACTCATCAGACCCTACTGGGGCTGATTAACACTCCGGTCTCTTCATGCATTACAAGTCCAAGTCAGTAGGCATCGCGACGTGCAAGTCAAGCCACTCTCGCTCTCCTCGTCGTTGGACGACAGAAGGTGGATCTCAAAAATGAAACTTCGATATAACGACCCTTCAGTCACTGACTCGTCTCGCTATATGCGTATGCACTGGAGTCATCGTCAGCGAATGAAGTGCGTGCGTGCAAAACCCACCGAGTCAAAACAAGACGGCATCGCCTTCGCGCAGGATAGTCTATGATGCAGGCGCATAGCCGCTCGAGTAAATATACTTGCTGAGTTTGTTTCATGCTGTACAATTCATGTCGGGCCGGTATCTTCATACTTCGAAATCAGGGTAGGGTCGGAGATACCAGGGTACACGTGTGGTGCATCGTCGTCGTACGCAAGAGTATGGATATCCGGAGAGGATGATCCCTAGAATTTTGCGTCAGAAACGCTGCATCACATGAGCGAACCTGTGGGCTTGAATTTGAGATCTGCCAGCTTTGACGTACAATGAATAAGCTCTGCGTATACGTTCAATTCGCGACATCTCCTTGTTATGAGGTGACTGTAATACTAGTAAGCCGACGCTAATAGTCAATACGCGAGACGATTTGAGTTAGAACGCAGATCCCGAACCTGTGAACCGAAGTAAAGAATGAGGATGGTATCGAACTGATCGTGTATTTCGGCCATGTTTTGTGATTGAGGACTCTCAAGGCAGACTTGACGGAGAGTGGCACGATCTCTGTCGAGGAAGACCGTCTTCAAGAAGCCATAAGGCACCCGTGGGAAACTTCGCGTTTCTGGCAAACGCCCTGTTCTGAACTTCTGAGCTTGCGCTTTTGTACGACACCATATTGTAACGCCGCTTGATCACGCGGCAAGTCCCCAACGTTGCAACTCCCATCTTACCAAGAAATATTTATCGATGCATCACTGCAAGATATCAAGTCACGACGGAGAAGCCGCGTGTTTTTTCTCCATGCCCTTGTCATAAATATCCTGACCATCCCGTGCAAGTCGTGAACCATACATATCCCTTTATTTATGAGATGCACTACATATTTCGTGAGCCAGGAGTCTGTCATTTGACCCTAGAAGCTGATTTATCTGATGTGAACGGTACCCCACTTGTCTCCCAGTTGATCAAGGAGAACAATCCAGAATTTGGTGAGCTATCATACCAACCCTGTGTTCTCGCGCTGAAGCCTTCAAATAGATAATATGTATCTCGACTTCAATGGAATCATTCACAACTGTGATTGATTATTTGAGATGCAGCGTAGACTGGCGTGTTCAACTTTCGTTTTGAGCTCGCATCCAAATGATGAAGATGCGCACTTTAGGATGTCCGAAAAGCAAATAATTTATTGCAGTAGACGGCGTGGCACCCCGGGCAAAGATGAATCAGTAACGAAGTCGACGGTTTCGCGCTGCCAAGGAAGCAAAGGAAATCAGAGAGAAGGCTGAGTCGAAAGGAGAAGAACTACCAGATGAGAAGGCCTTTGATAGTAATTACATTACGCCAGGTGCGTTCTGCGTCGTTTCATATGGCATCATATCATTTATTCCGTCTTAGGCGCTCCTTTCACGGTCAGGCTATCCCGCGCAGCCATGATACTTTTGTCAACAAGAAGATTACCGAAGATACTAATTGGCGTGGCGTGCAAGCTGTATTATCCGGTCATGAAGCACCGGGTGAAGGTGAACACAAGATCATGGAATACATTCGACCACCGAGAGCCTGATTATAACCCGAACGTGCGGCATTGTTTGTACGGTCCTGATGCCGATCTCATCATGCTTAGCCCTCTGAGTCATGATCCACACTTCTGTCTCTTGCGAGAGCAAGTAAAGTTCGGGCCTGCCGCGAAGAGGAAGGGTAACGTCAGGTATTTCGTAGTTTTTGTGCTAGGCAGATTAACTGAACGCCGGCGCAAGTCTGGAGAACCTCGACTTCTACCTTCTACATCTCTCGCTAATGCGTGAATACTTGGACCCTCGAGTTTCGTGATATAGAAGACGTTCTTGCATTTGATTAAAGCCTAGAGCGAGTCATCGATGACTTCATTCTCCTGGCCGTCTTCGTCGGAAACGATTTTCTACCTAATCTTCCAGATTTACACATCCACGAGAACGGACCGGAACGCCTGTTTGATGCGTACAAGAAAGTTTTCCCGTCGCTGGGTAAGTCCTGAACTTTCATTCTTTTCGCACATTGGCTTAGCGACTGTTTCAGATAAAACGAGGGTGGGGTCATTAATACCAAGCGACTGCAGGTCGTCCTGAACGAAACTACTATATGGGAGCGAGAGATCTTTGAGAAAGAATACCGCGGACTCGAATTGGTTCAAGGGAAAGCGGAGCAAAACGCGTCCAAGAAATGAAACTTGTGCGCAAGCGTGTCAAGCTTGGTACAGTTCTCCGCTCTTCCTGTCGACAACCAACAATTAATCCGTGTTAGTTCTTACACGCTTTCAACGAGACATTTCGATCAAGTACAGCAGTTTGTCTTGCAAAAATCGTCAGAGTACCGAACTGCAGCACTGGGTAACTTCAGTTCTTCTTCTAATACAGCGTCTCACTAGTGGTAGAACAACATCGCCGGGAATGCAAACTTTTCAACTGTATCTTCTCAACGTCAAACATGCGACGACTCCACGTATACGGTACCCTCGCGTCCAAACTTCCCGCCTGTATGTACCATGATCTTGCACTCACGCATAATTCCATTGACCTTCCGTGCAAATAGATCGTTGTCCTCCCATGGCTACCTCGCTGCGCCGGATGTCGAATTGTTGGGGCCATCAAGTAGGTCGCAACGTTTCCGTGAGTTAAAAACATTGATCTTTATCGTTGCAGCGTCATGGGTTAGAGCTTAGGTTGAGACCGCCCAAAGTCGACATGATCATCCTTTGAACAGATCCACTCGTTCTGATGCGACCGACCCCATATATCCGAAAGGCGATGTTATACGACGTTGTCGGCAACCACTGACAGAACTAAGCATTCAGACTGCGAGATTGTCGAGGCTCCACTAGACTTGACGCTTGGCGATTGGGACTGGTTGACAGGTATGTCGCTTGAGGCTATATTCTACACAGCCGCGCCGAACTCGGAAACAGTTTGGTCGACAGCTCATCGACAACATGAAGTAAGTCATTGATCGTCCTCCAGTATGTAAACGCACGGACTGATCTGCGTCTAGAATCGTTGATCACGTTCAAATCAGTGACGCTCTCCACAACGTCTGCAAAATGCGTGGTCATCACAACGATTTACAAACCCCCGCTAATCAGCGTCGTTCAGACTTGCTTCTGGAATCACCAGTTCTAGACGCCCTACTCAGGAGCATAAATTTGTATTTTATTCACGGGCTTGAAACTGAATCGTTGCTACAGATTCAACAAACTAATGACCTTGGACTTAGCGCCTCGTAGGTTCATTGTACGTCGAGATACTTCCGTCCTGGAGAAAGAGCTTTTTCTTTCGCTCTTCTCAGATGCGAAACGCTAGTTCAGCACATACATTGACTTTGGAACGGGTTTGAACAGCGAGGTCGCGTTGGATCTAACCATTAACGTTTTTTCCAGGAGACCATTTCAATACCTTCAGTTGGTGAGTCCTTTGGGCTCTTACCTCGCATGATTTTCAAGTTCCCGCAGGCTCACTTCGCATGGGGCAAATGGCTTGCGACTCAAATATTGTACTCCGGAGCAAGACTAATGGAAGCCGATTTTGGGGCTCTGACAGAGTTGGGATCCGTAGACTCTGCAGTAATGTCGCGAATCTACTTCATCAAAGCTCGTGTTATGACTCACTCTGTATCTTCTGAGACGCAGCCGTTTGTGAACAAGGCCTGCCTCCTGTACTGGGAGTCAATAATGCGACGCCGAAGAGCAAAATGTTGAAGGATGACTTGATGCTAAGGTCTTTGATTTGAGTCTGATAGAGGCCATTATAGTCGAGGAAAGCAAACAACTTGAACACAAGAGGTCACTGGGGCACCTCAGGCAGCTCGAACCTAGATATTTGTTAATCTCTGTTCAATGACTCTGAGAAGCTTAGACGCCGCGTTAATATTAAAAGTGTGATGACATATAGATGTCTTGAGAACAGCGATGTAATGCGATTACGTGAAGAAATGGTGATGGAATGACCGTGTTGTCAGAGAGCAATTACCAAAGGAATGAGCAATAAATGTGAATACACTAAACGTAATATAATAAAGAGAGAACAGCGACGTAACGAGATTACGGAAAGAAACGATGATGGAATGACTGCGTTGTCCAGAGAGCAATTACCAAAGGAATGAGCATATATGTGAATACATGATATAATAAAGAGAGGGGGAGAGCACTCATCATGCTCGCATACGGAGACTACGCAGCCGCGCGGTGTTTATTTCTGCTTCCATGTCTAACAATCGCTGCTTCGCTCGCTCACGGAGAAGGCCCCACTTGACCCACCAGTCGTCGGCTTCATCCTCAGCATATTCCCAAAGTTCTTTGAGCTGCTCCCATTGTTCAGAAGCTTCGCTGATGCCAAAAACGCTTTCCCCTTGAGCAGTCCTGGCGCGCATCTCCTGATTGTATTGCTCCTGCTGAGGACCAGCCGGCATCATTTGGAAATAGAGATTGCATTGTTCAGTATGCATGACGCTGGCGCAGCGATCTTCCCGAAGATCTTGAAAAGCATGTAAAAATGTCAATATTTGGTCCTGATTTCGCAGATGGGAGAAAAGCTTTGCAAGCACAGCGGCGTCTTCTACAGCCATTGCGCCGCCCTGCAAGGATCCTGCCTGAAGGAAGCGTCAGCGCAATGTGTCATCCCACGGTCAGAGTGAACATGCTGGAAGTGGATGTGCAGCCTCGCCTATAATTACCATACGACCATGGTCATCAACCCAATCCTCTATTGGTGGAACCATCTTGACCTGTACGCAGGCAGGTGTGGCCGCCAATTTGGTCTTTAAGAGTCTGAGATTTTCAATCAGCCAGAATAAACAAACTTCACGAGATAGATCATACCTCGGTTCGCATTCTCCAAGCTGCTGCGCATCTCCTTTAAATCAAGGCCTCCTTCCCAGCCATCATCATCGGATAGCCCCTTTTCATGGGACGCACCCACATGTGTAGCGCAAACTCATCCTTAGCGCCCTACTCCGTAGCTGTTAGATTAAGCGCGGCACTTCACGAATGTTAGCGTACCATACGGAACGCCACAGCGAGCGATTATTGCCCAACCAAATAAACATAGTCTCCTGAACGTCACATTGAACCCAATCATAATCGCACGCGTGTGCAACTTACAACGGGTTGTTTAAAGAAGGGTTCCAATTGAGGATCGGCTCTCATAAGTGCTCGGGATAGTAGTACTAAGGCAGTTAGGCAACGAGTCATACTAGCGAAGTCCGGAGCAATGCTTACTCGTAGAATAATGATTGATATGGCGCTGCGTCAAGAACATCCTTACCGACAATTGCTTGTTGCACCACACTCGAATGGCCATCGGCACCAACAATCACATCGGCCAGCAGCGTTTCCCCCGTGGTCAACTTCACACGAGGGCCATCACCACTTACAGAGACAACGGTTGTGCCTGCTCGCACTTCAGCGCCTGCTGCTATCGCCGTATCGTACAAAACTTTCCGGAGACTGGCGCGCTGTATGAACAGATGAAATTAATGTGATGCGAGGACAGAAGATTACATACATGTAGGAAGAGGAAGTCTCCTCTAGTCTCTCGCAGAACCTCTTCTTCCCAAAGATGCATACCAATAAACCCGCCGGTTTCGTCTGTAGATGTAGTAGTCAGTTATAGAGTGGAGGTGAGGTGCCGATGGGCACGAACAAATCTCAACCTCTATAGCGCTAGACGTCATGGATACCTGCCGAAGAGCACGCTCAAGGCCCCAATGAAAGAGAACTTTCGAGGCATTTGGAGGCAATCGAATGCCCCCGTGCAACATCTGTCCAGTGACGCATTGAGAATGCAATGATGTAGATAATTGTGGGATACTGACCTCCAAAATGTCTATATCAGAGTATTGTTCGAGAACAACTACATGATGGCCGACTCGCCTAAGTGCTATCGCGCACGCCAGGCCTGCAATTCCGCCACCAACGATGAGAAATTTTATGGTCAGTTCTGCCTGGGGAGGTTGAGTCAATAGATATATCTGGCATCAGATACGGTATAACATACTTTCCCAGACATCTAGTAGGCCAGCAAAGGTAAGAAAGTTCACAAAAAGTAGGAGCTACTCAGAAACTAACTGTCATGGCCAACGCATGCGCATACTAGATATGTATTTTTTGAGACTCTTCACCAGAAGAACTACCGAAGTACCTATTTGTGACTGTCCTCGGCACGGCGACTTGCACAGAACTTCATAGGGTGGAAATTTCAATTTGATTCTGCATCATAATCAGTAAACCCTTGTGGATCCTTTTGGCAATTTTGATCCCACTTTCAATGAAAGCTCGTCGTGACATGCCGGCACTGGCCCGGGAGGCTGAATTTTTCAGGGGTTCTCAGGCTCATGTAAGGGGGAGAATTTGTATATACTTCAACAACAATGGGAACTGTTGAGATGCAGTGCTCTACGAGTTCTGGAAGATAAGTAGTATGTGAGGAAAGGCTCATGAAAGAGATAATCTTGTGTTTATGTGATGTGACGGAACTCCGAAAAAAGAATGGACGGAGAATTCAGAAGGACGTCAAACGACAATCAAAATGAAAATGAAAAGAAGCATGTATGTGCATTGGGGCCCGAATATGAGGGGCATCGCTGGACAAAATTAAACAAATAGTTGCACGGTGAAATTCAAAATTTTCGACTGAAAACCAATCGTTTCTAGCTCACTTCCAATTACAATGTCCAGGTGCTGCGTGTAGCCTGCCGGAATATCCCGGTACCATGCGTCCAGTTGAGCAGATGCGCTTCCTTCATTCGTTTTTCTCTCCGCCACGACGTCGAGTTCGTCATTCATTGCACTGCATCAGCACTCCACTAATCAAGTGTCTTATAGTTTATCGCATCAATTTATATTTTACGATTTCAAAGCTACTCGAAGAGTCATACCACCTGCTCGTGCCCCACCCGAGCTAACACTCGGCCCAGCCCAACCTAATAGATCGTGTCAGCGACTCTTGAGTCAGACGAAGCTGGAAACTCTACCCAGTGCCGACCGCCACTTCTGTCTCGGCCGGAGGCGGTGCTGGTCTAGTAGCTAGTACTTGCGCCTGCTTTAGGGCCTGGGCGGATGTCTGTACTTAACCAGCATCGAAAACCTGCTGCATACAACATCACGAAGTTTCCAACTCTCTCGTGTGGAACGCCTCATGTACGTCGATTGACAGTCGTTCAGGAGAAATCACATAGGCTTGTTGACTCACCGACGATCTTGGTGTTAGGCTCCAACGAGCTGCTCTGGCACGTATAGTTCATATTATCCTTAGTTGAGAACCCCTGAGCGCCGGCCATGTCTTCCACGGCTGCTAAGATCAAAAGGCGTCAACAATAAAGATGATGTGAGGCCATACTAAGCTAGTCCGAGGCGTTGCGCACCTGCCCGGTGGGCAGCGCATCATCACATGTTCGAGAGACAGCTCACTTCGACTGTGAGACCTAGGGAGATGTACACATGTACGCAAAGATTGGTGAAATGAGGGGATGTAATAGCAGTATGGAACATGACATTGTCTCCAAGCGGCAGAGCTGTTGCCACTGGCCAGCCGCTATCTTGATGGGACAGTGAGGTGGAAAGAGCCCAGCGAAGACGTCAACTCGATATGTTGGAGTCCAGATGGTGTGCAAGTTGTGATCGGATCCACGAATGGGACAGCAGCAACAAAGATTGCAACAGGAAGATACAATCTTGAGGGAATTAAAATCCTTTTCTGATTCGACCATTGCTTTTCCGTCAAAAATTTTGAATTCACTGTGCAACTATTGTTTAATTTTGTCCAGCGGTGTCCCTCATACCCGAAAAGACGCCAATGAAAAGTCCTAGTCAGCAGCAACTCGATCGGAAGATGATAACTGTACCACATTTCATTCAATTTGATAGTATATATACACTAACAATGTAGTAGTCTCCATTATAAGATAGGCAAGTCGTAAGTACTGGTGGTACCGCGTATAAAGGAGAGCCCAGAATATATGAGGGGTGTTCCATTGGTGTAACATTGTAACAGCGCTGTAGATGATACAGAACGTAACAAAAGCAAATGCGAAGATCTTCTCTATGCAGTCCGAGTCATCAACTAAGCATAGGCACGCAATTGTGGAACCAGTGAATAGGCATTTAGAATGCGTCACTACTCAAGAAATCGGAGAGAATTCTTGATAGATGGATACGGTGCCGCCTAGGCTTCCTTTTACCATCCTTCACTGGGTTGTACATTGGCAGGTTAAAACTGAGGATGAGAGGGAATTATAAGGGGTTTCATGAAATGGAAAGAACAACCGAACCTGGAATAAGTTTCTGTTCTTCAGATAAGATATCAAGACATGAACGCAGACCCTTCAAATACCACAGCCATCGAGCCAGGAAAGGACATGACAATTCCAAAAGAATGGATTTTACGGTCAAGCATGTCATCCCATAGATTTGGAGCACACGGGACCAACGTACTCAAGAATTCTGCCATAGTCACCAGAAGGGTGCCCTGGGAGCGGATTGCTACACTTGGCCATATGACGTCTGCAGCCAGTCCCGTCCTTCCTGGGTTTGCAGCTAGTCTTGTCCTACATGGGTCTGCAGACAGTCCTGTCCTGCCCGCCAGACTTATCTGCAGCCAAGCACACCCGTCCACGGTCCCCAGCCAAGATTCTAAATCTGAGTGCGATCTCCTCGAAGCCACAGCATGCAGATGACAGCTGGCAGTGGCCCATGACCGAACAAGGAACGTGAATGAGTTATGGGATCCCCAGGTTGCATAGCTTTGCTTTGCTTTTTCAGGAGAGCGCATCCAAGAGAGTGCTTTCAAGGATCTCCTTCATCATCAAGTGTAGAGAGCAATTAGTGAGTATGGATGGGGTGGTGGCACAGGGTGCACCTCAGGGGGGCTGCAGTTTGAGGGGTTGGATACATAGTCACAAACGGATGAGGAGGAATATTCACGGGGAGACTGGCGTCAGTAGGAATATCCACCACCCACTGTAGCTGCGCTAGCATCATCTAGGTGTCACACCCCCAGTGACCAGGGAAAAGAAGTTTCAAGATCTGTGACAACGGCAAAGGGTCCACTAGTACAGCGACAATGGACAAGTGCAGCCTGAGGTATGCCCACTTGGCGACCTGTGTTCAGGTCCAGGCTGGGCCCACGAACAAGAATTATCATCTAGGTGTCACACCCCCAGTGACCAGGGAAACGAAGTTTCAAGATCTGTGACAACGGCAAAGGTCCACCAGTACAGCGACGATGGACAAGTGCAGCCTGAGGTATGCCCACTTGGGATTGGCTTCCACCGTGACAGTGAATATGATTGAGGTACTACAAAGCTGCTGGAACGTAGATATAACATATAGGTGAGGGTACCTCTAAGTCTGTGGACGAAAACCTTTGTTACATGTATGAATGCGCAGCATCCTAGTACTAGTACAACAGCTTTGAATGAAGACCATGACTATAGCAAACGTGAGTTATTGTTTGAAAAGCAAAGAGTCTATCGAAGTTGGTCTTCTGCGACTCAACCAATTCATCAAGCCCAGTCTTCTGGGATGTGGTCGATTCGTCAATCCTATCTATCAGACGCTTCTCCATCCCCTGCATTTCTTGCTGCAACGTCTTGATTTCTGAGGAGATTATCTTATTGTGGTCCTCAGCGGCATTCCTCAACTTCAACAACTTGGTTCCATGGGTAGTCAGTTTTTCATCTAGTTCGTCTTGTTTACGGTCAACCTTGGCATCCAATTGGTTAATCTTGGATTCCAAACGGTCAACCTTGGCATCCAAACGGTGAAGGACTTCCATGATCTGAGAACCTTTGCCAACACGTCAACAAATGACTTTGACAACAAATAGTGAAAGAACTCACTTGTAATCATCTGCATAGCGCCACCCCACTCCAACTGCGAAGGTGATATCACAATTCTGGGTTGACTTGGGGGCGGACCAAATGTACCAGTGCTCCCTGTGGATTCAAAGGAGTCACGGTAACCAGAATCTGAGGCTATTACAAGTTGCATCAGGATAAAAAGTAGTTAGAGGAAAATGAACATGAACACTAGCCTGAATTGATGGAAATCACGGTGTTCATGTAGAATAAACTTGCGTTAAGCGTGCAAAGCTTGGGGAGAAGTAGGAGAGTTTCAAAGGCGTAACTTACTGCACCCAGTAATTATGGTTGCGCAACCAAGATGATGACAGGACTTATATAAGTCAACATCATAGCATTAGGCTCCTGCTATATTGGTACGTGAATATTTATATTAAATTATCAATATGCAAGATATTGGTTCATTGAACGTTGAATCTCACACTTTTGGATTTCATAGCTTCAAACTGGGAGCACCATGATATCCCCAACTGGTGTGGAGTACTCAGGGCTTTTTTGTGGTGATGATCAGAGAAGGTGAGGGATTCAGCATGCGCAATTGTCAGGGATTTGTAAGTGGGACCTAGATGATTATCTGCGTGGGTGCTCAGTCGCCTGATATCCTCCCCTGAACCAATTAACTGAGCACTAGGATGAAACTTTCAGATAGACAAAGATTAATTAAATTTCTAGTCAAACTGAATAGATTATTTACAGTAGTTTTTATACAGAGGACAGTTCTGGCTCAAAATACGACTGTCCAGCGATAGGATCCATCATCCACTTGTTCAAATGGAGATGTCACTGCATGGAGCGGCTAGCTGGCCCTCTGGATATATCAAAACCCTTCTGGCAGCTCTTCTTCTGCAGAAGACCCTTTTGCTTCTTCCTCCTATTGTTGAACATGGGAAGTAGCCAGGCCTGATTGCTCATGTACGTGGTGTGATGTCACTAATTATTCCTCCACTGACGCTCACCACAGTTCTACAACAACTGTTCTTTCAGCTCAAGATACTCTGCCTTATAAATGTGCTCAGTGGTGCAGTCCCCTTCTGCTTATCACCAAGTGGTTAAAGGTTAGCACATGTCTAATGAGCATCAGATAACGGGTTCATAGTAGTATGATGATGCCTATAGGGGTGGTTCGCAAGCTAAAAAGATTAGAGCCAAAGCTTCATGTAAAGATGGATTAAGTCGATTAAATAATAACAAAAGGAGATCTGTCAAACACATTCAGTCACCGTTCGAAGGATAGTACGCACTATACAATTAAAGCTATTGGAACATGTCAATCAGACCGCACCGGTACTTTCATTCTACCAAGGACCCTTGACACGCGGCACGGCGATCATGCAGTGGCGCAAGGGGGTTCCCTTGCACACGGCGTAGTAAAAACCTCGGAGACAAAGCATGCAGAATTTTTCATTGGCGACCAAATTGAATTATCTATCCCCATTGACTTGGTTTCTCCGGCCGCCTTGATCTGCTTCCCAGTGGCTATTACCTTGAAGATTCCCGCGTCAGATTACGCTGTTAAATATGTTGAGAAGCTGATTCCACAATTTCAGGTCAATGTATATATCGCAGCCTTGTTGCAGCTTCTCGAACATGAGGACTTAAATCTGGAAAATTCCCATCAAACCATTAGGGTCATGCCTTTCTTGCAGTATTGTACTGACAGCATCCTGGCCTTGGTCGCCATGTGGGCTATGGACTATCCCCATCAACTCCGCTTACAGGTTTCAGCGGCGGAGAATTTTTGAGGCCTCATTGCCATCAACTTCTCATCCTCGAAGAGTCCTATTCCGACCATCTCGCAAGTTGCGTCTGTAGTACCGTCCCGGCGCCCATTGATCGGTCTCTTACTGTCAGGCAGATAATCTCCTTTAATCGAGATCAAACATCTGGCATACCAGGATCTGAAACCATTCTCGAGTAACTCCGCCAACATCCACTCCCTCCTCGTCATAGAAGCACATGCGGTGGCCGCGTAGAAAAAGTTGACAGCGTTGATGGTGGGTGCAACGAGGAGAAGGGTGTGAATTAAGATGCTAATGAGGTTAGTAGTACAGTCGACCGATGTAGAACATACAGACATGATATACATCCAGTCTAGTCACCGGGAGCAGACAAGAAGCAGCCGTACACTCGATGCTCATCCGGCATCTCCGAAGAAGAACACTACTACGCCGATAGCGCCGAAGAACCATTTCTGGCTAGACACGAGGTTGGACATGTTTGAGAACCAGCATTCGTCTGGTGTGGGCGTCATCGTTGCTGTCGCTGGTACGGATGGGGATGAAACCGCAGGTTTGCTGGCTTCGTCCTCAGCAGTCCGCGGTCGTCTGAGTGGGCTTAGGGTGGGATTCGCTGGATGTTGGCGTAGCATGCGTCATCGTTAGCTTTAGAAAGGAGCTGGTACGTATACTACTCTGAAGCGGGAGAACGTAGGTTAGTTGCAACTAAGACCGCATTTTCGGTGTACTTGGCATATCCATCGGCCTGCTTAATGAAAGTCGGGGAAGACAGTACGCATAGGTTTGGTGGTGCGTAAGTTGCGAGTTCGTGAAGTCATAGATCTACGTGAAATATAACAACATTAAAATATCTCATAGAATGCTGCGCGTTACATACATTCTACTGCCTTAAGGCGATCAGCACAAGTAAGGACGAAACAGAAGCGCACCTACAACTTTTTTCAAGGGCGTGTACAAGCGGACAAAAAAATAAACGGACGTACTTGGGCATACGAGTCTATGACCTTGCTAACTTACTCCAGAGTCCCGATTGTTGCACCTCACGCGTTGTGAAAAAAGAATATGAGCATGGAGGGAATGAATGGGACCCGGAAGAGGGGACGTACGTCGGCTTCTAGCTCATCAAATACGATCGGGCACCCTCGTTCCTGATCCAGCACGCCATGAACACCTTGTCCAAGATCGTCTGGGATAGCCCGCAACACGACATCAGCTACTTTTCACAGAGAAAATGTAATACGCGCTTGGCCTCACGACGTAATCAATCTCTATCACCGAGTACGGCTCAACGGTACGCAGTAGGTTTTTCTAGAGAAGGGCGTTGTAAAGCGCTGCAAGATGTGAGCGACTGGTTGGATCGGACGAGAGTTCTGTGTAACAATGACAAGTCAACAGCGAGTTGTTTTGACGAGTCCATTTCATGCTATTTACAGAATTCTGTGAGTAGTACTATCCCCTCTGCGTGATCTTCGATGAGCTAAACGCTCTCGTCCCTCGGAGAGAGACGAATGTATGGTGCGCATCCCCTCCATTCTCTATCTCAACGTATCTCATGTTCCTATCCAAACAGTCAGGATCCTTCACGTATGTCGTGAACGTTCTACTTACAGAGCTAGATAGACTTGACTCCCGCAAATCTGTCTTTGTCACCTTTGCAACGCATCGTTCCAATATGGTCAACTCAACTATGTTTTGCCCAGCGGAAATCGGAACTCTCACGCAGGTGAAGACTCGGTTGAATGAATGATAATCAGAGCCTTGATCCAGCTTGGCTCAGAGCCAGACAGTGCCTGCAACCACTCCTGCGTATCCGAGATAACGTCATCAGGACTCTCGACCCCTTCCAGGATAAGAGTAATGTAGTGGACAGTTGGCACGCGAGAAACGTGGAGTACTCAGCCGCAAGCCTCGGCGAATCCTGCATTCGCTCGTTAGGTTAGAAACGACCTCAGCGACAAAGGATTGATCATTACAAACCTTCTTGAGCGCACCTCGAGGCTACCGCATGTTTAAAATCGGAACGAAGGGTGCTGGCTTGCGCGCTGAGATCGTTATGGAATAGGCCCGGTCCTCCAAATCAGCGGCGAGAAATCGAGTTATCGGAGCAGGATCTTCAAAGTTCTGAGCGATGGATGCAAATAGGTCATGAATTTGCTCTCAGGAGAGCAGTGATAACTATCGGGATCTCGTCATCCTGGTACGCGGGAGGAACTTCGGTAGTGGACTTACTAACTGAGGCTTCTAAATCCTGCAATGATCTCGAAAGTTCAACGACCTCAGACCACTCACGCAACGCTATGGAATCCATTACCGGATCGCCCGCGTAATCGGCTTCCCAACTGACTCCGCTCTAAGAAGAGGTGATTTAATTTTTCTCGTTGTTATAGATGGCGTTTGGAGTATGGTTAGATTGTGCTAGGGCAGATTAGTAACGACTCATAAAGGCGGATAAAACTCATTGTGGATCAGCCAAAGTAGAGATTGAGAACTTCACTACCGCTCGCTGATGAGATCGGCCCTAAGGCGCCTTCAGCGATACGTCCAATGCTGGAAATCAGCTTCCAATGGGTAAGGTTTGCTGACTGGAGCTCTCGGAAATTGTGTTCGCCTCGCCTCCAGTTGGTTGAGTAACAGGATCTAGAGGGATCTCGGAAGTGAAGACTAGAACAAGCGCCTCGGTTTTGGAGGAAGACTGCCACACAAGATTGAGTAGTCTCATCGAGTAGAAAGAACGTCTACTTCAAGTTTCAGGGCGCCGGAGCCTGAGTCGAGGTCGATGACAAGGGCAAGGTGGCGAACGGGATAGACCGTCGGGCTAGAATAAATTTAGAACCGAAGAATACTCTAATAAAAGGAAAAAACTGACCATGATGTCTCCGGCTGCGTTTAGATACCGTTCGACGCATTCGCGGTCGAAAATATGGGGGCATTTGGATAGCATCTTCCGCGACGTTACTGCAGAATCTACGGATCCCAACTCTGTCAGAGCCCCAAAATCGGCTTCCATTAGTCTTGCTCCGGAGTACAATATTTGAGTCGCAAGCCATTTGCCCCATGCGAAGTGAGCCTGCGGGAACTTGAAAATCATGCGAGGTAAGAGCCCAAAGGACTCACCAACTGAAGGTATTGAAATGGTCTCCTGGAAAAACGTTAATGGTTAGATCCAACGCGACCTCGCTGTTCAAACCCGTTCCAAAGTCAATGTATGTGCTGAACTAGCGTTTCGCATCTGAGAAGAGCGAAAGAAAAAGCTCTTTCTCCAGGACGGAAGTAATCTCGACGTACAATGAACCTACGAGGCGCTAAGTCCAAGTCATTAGTTTGTTGAATCTGTAGCAACGATTCAGTTTTCAAGCCCGTGAATAAAATACAAATTTATGCTCCTGAGTAGGCGTCTAGAACTGGTGATTCCAGAAGCAAGTCTGAACGACGCTGATTAGCGGGGTTTGTAAATCGTTGTGATGACCACGCATTTTGCAGACGTTGTGGAGAGCGTCACTGATTTGAACGTGATCAACGATTCTAGACGCAGATCAGTCCGTGCGTTTACATACTGGAGGACGATCAATGACTTACTTCATGTTGTCGATGAGCTGTCGACCAAACTGTTCCGAGTTCGGCGCGGCTGTGTAGAATATAGCCTCAAGCGACATACCTGTCAACCAGTCCCAATCGCCAAGCGTCAAGTCTAGTGGAGCCTCGACAATCTCGCAGTCTTGAATGCTTAGTTCTGTCAGTGGTTGCCGACAACGTCGTATAACATCGCCTTCGGATATATGGGGTCGGTCGCATCAGAACGAGTGGATCTGTTCAAAGGATGATCATGTTCGACTTTGGGCGGTCTCAAACCTAAGCTCTAACCCATGACGCTGCAACGATAAAGATCAATGTTTTTTAACTCACGGAAACGTTGCGACCTACTTGATGGCCCCAACAATTCGACATCCGGCGCAGCGAGGTAGCCATGGGAGGACAACGATCTATTTGCACGGAAGGTCAATGGAATATGCGTGAGTGCAAGATCATGGTACATACAGGCGGGAAGTTTGGACGCGAGGGTACCGTATACGTGGAGTCGTCGCATGTTTGACGTTGAGAAGATACAGTTGAAAAGTTTGCATTCCCGGCGATGTTGTTCTACCAGCTAGTGAGACGCTGTATTAGAAGAAGAACTGAAGTTACCCAGTGCTGCAGTTCGGTACTCTGACGATTTTGCAAGACAAACTGCTGTACTTGATCGAAAATGTCTCGTTGAAAGCGTGTAAGAACTAACACGGATTAATTGTTGGTTGTCGACAGGAAGAGCGGAGAACTGTACCAAGCTTGACACGCTTGCGCACAAGTTTCATTTCTTGGACGCGTTTGCTCCGCTTTCCCTTGAACCAATTCGAGTCCGCGTATTCTTTCTCAAAGATCTCTCGCTCCCATATAGTAGTTTCGTTCAGGACGACCTGCAGTCGCTGGTATTAATGACCCCACCCTCGTTTTATCTGAAACAGTCGCTAAGCCAATGTGCGAAAGAATGAAAGTTCAGGACTTACCCAGCGACGGGAAAACTTTCTTGTACGCATCAAACAGGCGTTCCGGTCCGTTCTCGTGGATGTGTAAATCTGGAAGATTAGGTAGAAAAATCGTTTCCGACGAAGACGGCCAGGAGAATGAAGTCATCGATGACTCGCTCTAGGCTTAATCAAATGCAAGAACGTCTTCTATATCACGAAACTCGAGGTCCAAGTATTCACGCATTAGCGAGAGATGTAGAAGGTAGAAGTCGAGGTTCTCCAGACTTGCGCCGGCGTTCAGTTAATCTGCCTAGCACAAAAACTACGAAATACCTGACGTTACCCTTCCTCTTCGCGGCAGGCCCGAACTTTACTTGCTCTCGCAAGAGACAGAAGTGTGGATCATGACTCAGAGGGCTAAGCATGATGAGATCGGCATCAGGACCGTACAAACAATGCCGCACGTTCGGGTTATAATCAGGCTCTCGGTGGTCGAATGTATTCCATGATCTTGTGTTCACCTTCACCCGGTGCTTCATGACCGGATAATACAGCTTGCACGCCACGCCAATTAGTATCTTCGGTAATCTTCTTGTTGACAAAGTATCATGGCTGCGCGGATAGCCTGACCGTGAAAGGAGCGCCTAAGACGGAATAAATGATATGATGCCATATGAAACGACGCAGAACGCACCTGGCGTAATGTAATTACTATCAAAGGCCTTCTCATCTGGTAGTTCTTCTCCTTTCGACTCAGCCTTCTCTCTGATTTCCTTTGCTTCCTTGGCAGCGCGAAACCGTCGACTTCGTTACTGATTCATCTTTGCCCGGGGTGCCACGCCGTCTACTGCAATAAATATTTGCTTTTCGGACATCCTAAAGTGCGCATCTTCATCATTTGGATGCGAGCTCAAAACGAAAGTTGAACACGCCAGTCTACGCTGCATCTCAAATAATCAATCACAGTTGTGAATGATTCCATTGAAGTCGAGATACATATTATCTATTTGAAGGCTTCAGCGCGAGAACACAGGGTTGGTATGATAGCTCACCAAATTCTGGATTGTTCTCCTTGATCAACTGGGAGACAAGTGGGTACCGTTCACATCAGATAAATCAGCTTCTAGGGTCAAATGACAGACTCCTGGCTCACGAAATATGTAGTGCATCTCATAAATAAAGGGATATGTATGGTTCACGACTTGCACGGGATGGTCAGGATATTTATGACAAGGGCATGGAGAAAAAACACGCGGCTTCTCCGTCGTGACTTGATATCTTGCAGTGATGCATCGATAAATATTTTCTTGGTAAGATGGGAGTTGCAACGTTGGGGACTTGCGCGTGATCAAGCGGCGTTACAATATGGTGTCGTACAAAAGCGCAAGCTCAGAAGTTCAGAACAGGGCGTTTGCCAGAAACGCGAAGTTTCCCACGGGTGCCTATGGCTTCTCGAAGACGGTCTTCCTCGACAGAGATCGTGCCACTCTCCGTCAAGTCTGCCTTGAGAGTCCTCAATCACAAAACATGGCCGAAATACACGATCAGTTCGATACCATCCTCATTCTTTACTTCGGTTCACAGGTTCGGGATCTGCGTTCTAACTCAAATCGTCTCGCGTATTGACTATTAGCGTCGGCTTACTAGTATTACAGTCACCTCATAACAAGGAGATGTCGCGAATTGAACGTATACGCAGAGCTTATTCATTGTACGTCAAAGCTGGCAGATCTCAAATTCAAGCCCACAGGTTCGCTCATGTGATGCAGCGTTTCTGACGCAAAATTCTAGGGATCATCCTCTCCGGATATCCATACTCTGCGTACGACGACGATGCACCACACGTGTACCCTGGTATCTACACTCTGGGCGTCCCTATCCTTGGCATGCGCTATGCCTTCCAGGTCTAGTTTTCTCGAGCATCTTCTTGGGCGCTAACTCACGCGAGATACAGGAGATCTGCTGGAATCACAAGGGACGGGTAGCAAAATGCGATCATCGCGAATACGGACTTGCAGAAGTTCAGATCAGCAGGTCTAGTGAATCGGTAAGCTCTGTTGACGCCCTGTTTGAAGGACTCGGCGATCAGATGCAGGTGCGTGTCTTCGTTTCGTCTATCGAAAGCCAAGTTGACTTTTGATAAGGTCTGGATGTCACACGGCGATCAACTGTCCGTTATGCCTCCCGACTTCCATGTCATCGGACGGACGAACGCCGCTTCCTTATACTGCCATCGCACATAACTCGAAGTCGCTTCATGGCATTCGACGCATTCCCCGCCAGGAAAGCAGCTCATTGGTCGATCTGTGCTGAATATATGCCAATGCCGACCAAATTGGACAATGGTGAAGTAATTACTGCGTTGCGTTTATTTGTCATGCTCACTGCATTGCAGGAGGAATTTATTGGCCAGGAAATCGTTCGCATCCGTGAGATATGTGGTCCGAGAGGCCGCGTGATCGGCGTAGTCAGCGGAGGTGTTGACAGCACAGTCACAGCCAAGTTAATGCGCGAGGCAATCGGCGACAGGCGCACACCACGTTCTTTTCATAACTTACTCTTACTCGCGCGTCAGATTATGGTGGACAACGGCATGCTTTGTCTCAACGAAGCGCAACAAGTTGAATAAAGATCTGGGCGTCAACCTGACTGTAGCAGATGCGACTTGATGATGTCGAGAATCCGGAACAGAAACGCAAGATTATGGGGTGTTTTCGAGACGGAAGCAGCGAAGATCGAGGAAGCTGCCGAGAAGGAAGAAAACGGAGCGCAGGCAAAGGGGAAGATCGAATGGCTATTGCAAGGAGCCCTATATCCAGATGTTATCGGGAGCATCAGTTTTAAGGGCCCTAGCGCGACCACCACGACGCATCACAATGTTGGTGGGCTTCTCAAGGACGTCAATCGAACCCCTACGCGAGCTCTTCAAAGGTCTGGTCAAGGGAATCCTGTATTGCCTATTGCACTGACCGTTTCATGTAGATGAAGTCCGTGCGCTTGGAAGACTCCTGTCAATACCAGCGCCTTTGGTTCAACGTCATCCTTTCCCAGGTCCCGGTCTGGCTATTCGGATTTTGGGTCCTGTCACACGCGAACAAGTGAAGATCCTGCAGCAAGCGGATCGTATCTATATCGAGGGGATTCACAAGGCGAATCTCTACAATCAAATCAGCCAGGCCACGGCCATCTTGCTTCCTGTGAAAGCTATCGGCGTGATGGGTGACAAGCGCACATATAAGCAGGTTTGCAGGACAACATTCTCTCTTGTTCGCTGCGTCAACGTATTTTACAGGTAATTGCTCTGAGAGCGGTGACGTCGGAAGACTTCATGACCGCTGATCGGTGAGCTTTTTGATCCTGTTCAATGCTAACTTGATTTTTCAGGTATGCGTTTCCTCCCAAAGCTTTACGTTGGATATCGTCCCGCATCACGAACGAAGTGAATGGGATTGATCGTGTCACTTACGATATATCTTCCAAGCCTCCAGTAGGTCCTGTCGCCTCGTCTCGCCAGAGTCAAGATTGATTTCATTATGTAGACTGTGGAATGGCTGTGATTGCCGACGACGCGACGCCAACGCACGCAAACATTAACATAGAAATTGATAGAATACATGAATGGGGTTTGTTTAGGAATAAACTTGCGAATATGCGGAGGGTAGCACATACTAGATGCACTAATCGGTAATTAAGTAGTACTAGCGTAGAGCGTCAGATCTAAGCCACGGCCCACCAGTTGTTGGATTTCAACATTGTCCGTTTGCCTTTGTTGCGGCCGGGGATAGGCAACTTGAACTCCTTTACCACGTATGATAATTATAACAACGACATGTAGGTCGGTCATCTCAGCTTTTGAATATTTCAAATTGGCATAGCCCAACAGCTTTCTGCGGCTTCATCAGCGCCCAACGACTTTATCATGAGCGCTAGCTCTCGTCCACACGCTGCCGTTGTCGCCAACGCGAAGATTTTGCAAACGGGCTCGCGTCAACGAGTATGTAAATACTGCCAATAACTTAAACTGAAAAACCAGTTGGGTTCCGAGCAAGCGCACTCTCCCCGACGCTCTACGTAATGTAAGCGTTAGATTAGATCGTTTTGCTCCTTGAGGTACGTAGATGCATCGTTCCTTGCTCTATTTGTTCATCTTGTATTGGACGCGTTGCCCATTAGACCTTTACGAAACGTTTCTCCAAACAGAATCGTCAGCAGTACCCGTGATGGACATATACCAGACCTTAATTCACGCTGTGATTCCTTTCTTGAAGTTTTTCACTGAGGAGGACCTGCAACGTACGTGTTGAATCTTGCCAAGGGTTCGACTGTGTCGACTGCGTTATGTAGTCCGACTCCAAGACTTGATCCAAAGTTCCTATGAGGTTTCGACCAAAATCGTATATCCTGTCCGGGCTGAAGGTGAAGCCACAGCTCAAGAATACAAGTACGCAGGCATTTATTAAATCTGAGCATCAGCGTCATGATCTTGTTTAGCGACGCCAGCTCAGCAATCACAAATGCCCAGGATGCGACTTCAAGCGCGCAACTAATGTTTCCTAATGCTGCGCAAGTGGAGTTCGTTCAATCACCTGTAAGGCGTGCACGCACCATTTATTCATGATCTGACATATAAATTCATAGACTATAACAACCACGTCTATACCCTGCTCAGATATTCACATGGGCCCCCCAACCAGTGCCTCCGTACCAAGAACCCTTCCCAAACCGCAGCCAAAGCGCCAATCTGTGGCATCCTCACTATCTGAGCGCCTCAAACGGGGCGTGATACAAGTCACAGCATCCGCCTGCGGCTAGGCAATCTTCGCGTGACAGGGATTCTTGGCCGAGGATAGAATGGTCAGAATAGAATTTGATCACAAGTTTGTGAAGGTGAGCCAGGATAGAGACGGAGAAGATCACGCGTTAACAAGCATCGGGGAGTGGCCGACGCACTAGATAGTAGAGGCGCGAAAGAGCCCGAGCAAGGGTTTCTCAAATACACGATCTGAGATCATACTCCCCCGTCACTGTCACATATCATATATCAGGAAGGACCATGCTTCCTTTTTCCCTTCGCCAAGTAGGTGTGCTGTCAGTCTGCGCCCTCTCAAATTCGCCATCTCCGCTAATTTCGCCATTTACGCTCATCTGATGATCCCAGGACATCGAGGGTACCGCTCCGAGTCGCTGGTGCCCGAATCACCGCATGCTAGAAAAAGATGGAGAACCCAGTCATCCTGCAGATGCGAAGTTACTGTCCAGTTCCGGTCTAGATGCTGCAGAAACGAATGCAGAGCTGGTCGCAAGAGACGACGCAAATCTTGCATTGCCTCTTTTAATGACCCGGGGGCGTTTTTCACCTCGGTTCCCCCTTCCATGGGTCACCATCTCACTATACCTAAGTCTCTGTACCATCCTAACGAACTAGTACAAGAGGTGGCATTCCGTAATACTAAGATCCTCAGGCTGGTCTTTCTCCCTTTCATGCCCGCTCCTTTTGGAGAGCCGGTATCTAGTATGTGCCGTTACAGATCGCGCTGATTTCACCGTCTGCTTGGCATCTTGACTCGGCGCCTCCAGTTGCATTGATTCGAGCTCCGAAGAAGGACGGCCAATCACCCGACGGTGAAATTGAAATTCAGTCCACTGGATTACTAATTACTAAGTACTCTGGCCAAGCAAGCATAATTATGCTCAGGCTAATCGTGAGGGTTGCTTTCATTTAAGTTCATGGAGTGGAGCACCTGAACTGGTGGTAATGAACTTGAATAGCATGGGTAGTGGGTATTCGGTCAGAATTTGCCCAATGGGCTTCCTTTTCTTGTTTGCGAGGATTAGCTGATCGAATCAACAGTTTATGATGTCCGTGAAAGTTCTGATCCGTTGATCATAAACTTAGTCGACTAAGTATGAAATTTTCATTTGATTGATGTTGGTAACGCATGGTGAGAATCTACCCTCAAATTTTGACCGCGGAGGAGAGTTGGGGACTGAGGGCCTCGCCTCAGTGCTGTTTATGTTATGTTAAGTTCACTTGTCGCATCTATTGACGGAATATTGCAGGTCGCTAGAATTCTACTGATCATAAGGCCGATCTACCAGGTACTCATCCAGCATCATGAATACTACCATATCGTGATTCCTACTCAGAAACTGGGTGTCATCAACCGCTAGAGCTGAGATCGCAGAGAACATCCTGGACCATCAGTGATTATGTGATGGTGAGCTCGGAAATTGCAACATTACGACGTTCTGCTAGGGATGGGCCTGAGTCCTGACGGAGTAAATTCTGGTTTGATTATCCAGGGTTCTGACAGAAAGTTTATTGACCCTTCAAGTTCTTACTAGACTCCCTGCACATTTTATTTCGCTCCCGGCCCATGGGTACTTGCCTAATTTCAGAGGATCCAGGAAACTATATGTAAAGGGAATGTCTGGACGCTTCCTCCCCCCAACCACAACCCATCTCTTCCTCAGCCAAAAATGCCCACCATTACTATGCCTGGTGCTCTTCTGGCCCTCAGCGCCCCTTGTCATGCCGAACAGGCAGATTCTTTGATGGACTCCGAGTCTGTAGGGCGTCCTGATGCTGGCAATATTCCCTGGTGTTGGCCAGTATGGCGGCATCGCACTACGCTTAGTTCAACTCCCTTATCCGTAACGATAAATGAGGACACTCCCAGCGCTTGGAAATCCCATGAGGTCCATCAGGCGGTCTTGACATTCGCCTGCAATTTCTGGGCTGTTGATGATGCCGCCCAAGTGGATTACATCAAAAAGGGTCGCCCTGATAACAACAACCAAGGTCGACAACATTGGCTGGACTATTGTCATGCTAATTGGTCAAACTGGAAAATAAACAGTACGGTTGACACTGTGCTGGCTGAACGCGGCCTGGACCCATATTCAGTTATGAAGCGTCTCAAGGTGGCCAATGTGAGATTCATTTACTTTGGTCCCTGTACCATGCCCTGATTGACTATTTCAATTAGCTACCAGATCTCGCCACCTCACAGGTTGCACTTGCATACTCTGGCCTTGCAGAAGCGCTTTTTGGCCCTGAATCTTTTACCGAGGATGGTATTGCCCTTAAGGAGCCAGTCCGGCGCTTCCTGGACGCCCTCATGGCCCACCATTGGGCCAAGAATAGGAAGTCTATTGGACGTGAAAGAGGACGACTTGGAAAGTTAAAGACCAAAGTAGACCAGACTTGGAAAGGCGAGCTTTTCTACACTAGGCCTTTCTGATATCTAATACTATTTATCCAGAATTCTTGTCGATGGCAGAGCAAAGCCAACATCTGGATGCTGAAGGCATTAGAACCTGGCTGAAGGACGTGGAAGGACTTACCAAAATCCTCACTCGATATGGGGATCACGAGTCGTTGAAGCAGCTTTCAGAGCAGCAGGAAACGCTTAGCGACCTTCTTCAAGGCTTAGGGATAGATGTGAAGGATGGAAACAAGTGCCGTGCGTTATTAACCTCAGCTTATCTTGGTGCCAATTTTCTTACTTTTTCTGGAGATAGGTCTACCTAAGCCCCTACGTCAAGCCCTGTCATTCCTTGCCACTCTGCAGGACATATCTCTACTCACTGCGTCCATCCATGACCAGTTGAAACTTTGCGATCCCAATGCCACGCCACCAGAACCAATACCAGAGTTTGACCCTGATGCCACCAGTGACTGTGATTATCAGTGGTCCGAAGGCGTAGAGGAATATAATAGTATGTCTGAGGATGCCCTATGGACAATCCTTGGACTTCCAGAGAAGCAAATACCGTTCTTTAACCTTTTTCAAGATCCCTATGGGAATTGTGATGCTTGGTCTGAGGACGGTCAAACCTGGTTAAAAGAAATGGAGAACCTCTGGCTCTCCGTTGGCATCAGTTGGTTGGTCTCATAAAGATGGTCAAGAATGCCTTTGGTGGAATGCCCGTCCTGCTCATGGACGAAGTGGGCTTAGGTAAAACAATCCAAGTCACGGCCTTAATTGCCGTACTTTCATTTTATCGCGAATTTTATACCATGCACAACTGCTTTCCAGGTAAAATAGGTATGCCTCTGCATTAAAGTTCCCCTAGCATTGCAGATCTAACCTAAATTTAATTAGCTGGGAAGCAGTGGAGAACGAACGCTCCCAACATTCCAAATCTTCCAGTGATGCTCGTTATCCCAGCAAATCTTGTGCCCCAGTTTACTTCTGAGTTGCATCGATTTCTTCAACGGGGCGCCTTTGACGTTCTACCCTATCTGACTACCTGGAGCAGTCGGAGAACTTGGTGGGAAGACATATGGAGCAGGTCAAAGCAGCCGGAAGGGCGGCGAATCATCATCACAACGCCCAAAGTATGGATACAATTCTATTTTCAGTCTGTGAAGCTCAACATTTTTACTTGCCTTCAGGCTTTAGAATCTGACTGCGACCGCATTTTTGAGGCCAATAATCTTACCCCAACCCAACACCCACGAAAGAAGACGAATTATACCATGGATGCCCCCAGCACAGCTTATGGGCGAGATTTCTTATTGGGCCTGGTGGACGAGGCCCATAACTACCGAAATATCAAAAAGGGTTACTGGGCCATATTTTGCCTTCGCTTGCTATGTCATGCTGTGGTGGCTATGACAGCCACGCCAATCACCTCCCGACCTCTGGTGAGTGACCAACGTTCATATAATTTTATCATCTCATTCCGTTTTTAACCTCAATTTCTCCTTCATTTGTGCAGGACGTATGGAACATTGGAAGATGCCTGGGTCTGGAGCTATTTGGCAGCTCTTACGACCATGAGGCCTTAAAAATGGTCCGTCAATTGCGCGCTGCTGCTGCTAAGGATCGCAAGCGCTTTAAACAAGGCGACCGCATTGCCAAGATAATCATGGGAACAGTAAAGGGGGATGCTGACGTTGACGTTCCCAGTCTGTACCGTAGTCAGATGCTGACTTGGATCAGCATCATCCGAGAGAGATTTTCGGGTGTTATCATACGGCGCACTATTTTGTCTGTTGACTATCGTGGCGTCAGGATCTCAGGCCTTGCTCCATTTCAGGAGCATAATCTGCTTGTGAAGCTGTATGGCCATGAGGTAGACAATCTTGAACGCATTGCTAAGGATTTGGTTGAGGAAGGTGGTGCAAGAGCGGCGAAGTTTGCTTCAGGCTCGGTACAATTTTTCATGCCTTCTTATTCAAGCATTTACCAATCAAAATTCTCCAGGATTTCTACATGCGCGTCCGCAGAGCTTTATTGCACCCTAGCTGCAACCCAGGATATCCATGGGCAAATCCCTCCAATTTGGATGAATGGAAGAAGGATCCATCGCGAAAACTTGATGTTCTGGCCCAAGTAATTGATTGGCATCAGGCGCAGGATGGACGTCTCCCTCTACAAGTTGTGGATGACGTACTAGTAGTATCATCTGCTGATCCTGATGTCACTGCAGGCGTGGCTGACTCTGTGCCCTGCGATAAAATTATCGTCTACTGTGCTTTCCCTTCTAGCTATACGCAGGTGCTCAAGGTATTTAATCATCATGATTTGCTTTTCTAACCATCTAGTGACGTTGAACTTTTTGAATGGCAGGTTCTAGAGCTTAACGGCATCCCAACTTTACAGATCTATGGCAAATTGTCAATGTCCACCAGAACTGATGTAATTGCGCAATTCAAAAGCAGTGGACGTGATGGTCCTCGTGTTCTAATAATCTCCAACGTTGGGCTCACAGGTCTCAATTTACCTTGTGCCAACATATTGATAATTGTGGTCCGCATTCTCCTACCATTTCATTGGCTATTTTTTCTGACGCTTAGGCATCTTAACTGTAGGATTCCCTCTGGTCTGCCACTGATGAAGGACAACTGATTGGACGTATCTATCGTCCTCCACAGCCAAAAAACCGTCCACATCTACCGAATTGTGGCGGCTGACACTCAGGACGTGTTTCTGAATAACATCTCCTTCAGTAAAGCTGTGATCCTGGATGCATTCACAGGGGCCACCCCCAGTTTACGTGTGTATTTGCTTCCGCTCTGAGGGTGAAAATCTAATTTGACGTCATGCAGGCTCTTTGTTCAATGATGAGGAGGAAGCAGAGGAAATGGGCGCCCTTTCGGAGATTGATGATAAGAAGGAAAAAACCAAGTCCAAGACGCCAAAAGTGGGCTCAAAGAAGAAAGGAGGCCAAGCACAAGGTAAAGGAGCTGACCAGCCTTCAGGAAGGTTACAAGAGAAACGAACAGTTAAACCTGTTAATGAAGACTTCGCAATTGAAAAACCCAGAGCGAAGTCTCTTGCCCCTCCCAGCTTTGGAAACTCACAGTTGAGCGCTTCAGTGAGGCTCTCCTATTTTTTTTCTTAAATCCCAATCTAATGCTGCCAACCATACTCAGGAGCTCCCAGTCCAGAACCACTTGGCCAAAGCAGCGTCCCCCCAACAGAACTCTCCTCCTGCTCCCAGCATGATTGTGGATTCTGATAGGGGAGATAGTGTTATGCAGTTGGAAGCTCAGGTGAGCACGGTATTCCACATTCTCCAATCCTAATTTAAGGCCGGGAAGAATACTCAGGACGCGGAGCTCCACATCCCGAACAATTTGGGCCAAGCTGCATCTCACCGACCAAAGTCTCCTCCTATTCCCAGCACAATTGTAGCGGCCAAGATGGGAGATATAGCGCAGTTGGAAGCTCAGGTGAGCTTGGTATTAGATGCCAGTTAAGAATGTTAGCTAACACACATTTCCTCTAAGGTCAATGGTAGCGTGGAGGAAGGATTTCAGCAAGCGAACACTATGCAAGTCAATACATCTCAGGGATGCCAAGACTCCCCCGCAATTCTTCCTCTTAAGCGCGCAGCAGATTCTAGTCTGGAGAATCAAGTATCAAAAGTCCAAAAATCAGCATCCAGAGACGATCATAATGTTTCCACATTTCTAGCAGATATGCAGGACCGCGGCATAGGAGTTGATCGATTATTTGCTTTCCTTAAATCCATACCAAGTGCGTATACTAATTTGTGGTACGGTAATATTGCCTCTAACATCTGTCATATTACAGATTCATCTGCAGAGAATCCAGACCACCCGTTGGCGTCTTTTGTTCCAGGGTTGAGCTCAACCACTGAACTTTCAACGCCTGCTCCCTTGAATCCTATGGCTAGTGGGGGCAGAAAGTAGTCGCCTAGATTTGTTATTCATGCAATTTTATCTTTGTTAGATCTCGAAGTCAATTCTTCATTCAGAGTCTCAAGACGCCATCTTAGTATAAGGATCCAGCAAACTGCACTGGCCGCCACTTTCTCTCCAAGCAAAACGATCTAATCTAACGCTTACATTACGTAGAGCGTCGGGAGAGTGCGCTTGCTCGGAACCCAACTGGTTTTTCAGTTTAAGTTATTGGCAGTATTTACATACTCGTTGACGCGAGCCCGTTTGCAAAATCTTCGCGTTGGCGACAACGGCAGCGTGTGGACGAGAGCTAGCGCTCATGATAAAGTCGTTGGGCGCTGATGAAGCCGCAGAAAGCTGTTGGGCTATGCCAATTTGAAATATTCAAAAGCTGAGATGACCGACCTACATGTCGTTGTTATAATTATCATACGTGGTAAAGGAGTTCAAGTTGCCTATCCCCGGCCGCAACAAAGGCAAACGGACAATGTTGAAATCCAACAACTGGTGGGCCGTGGCTTAGATCTGACGCTCTACGCTAGTACTACTTAATTACCGATTAGTGCATCTAGTATGTGCTACCCTCCGCATATTCGCAAGTTTATTCCTAAACAAACCCCATTCATGTATTCTATCAATTTCTATGTTAATGTTTGCGTGCGTTGGCGTCGCGTCGTCGGCAATCACAGCCATTCCACAGTCTACATAATGAAATCAATCTTGACTCTGGCGAGACGAGGCGACAGGACCTACTGGAGGCTTGGAAGATATATCGTAAGTGACACGATCAATCCCATTCACTTCGTTCGTGATGCGGGACGATATCCAACGTAAAGCTTTGGGAGGAAACGCATACCTGAAAAATCAAGTTAGCATTGAACAGGATCAAAAAGCTCACCGATCAGCGGTCATGAAGTCTTCCGACGTCACCGCTCTCAGAGCAATTACCTGTAAAATACGTTGACGCAGCGAACAAGAGAGAATGTTGTCCTGCAAACCTGCTTATATGTGCGCTTGTCACCCATCACGCCGATAGCTTTCACAGGAAGCAAGATGGCCGTGGCCTGGCTGATTTGATTGTAGAGATTCGCCTTGTGAATCCCCTCGATATAGATACGATCCGCTTGCTGCAGGATCTTCACTTGTTCGCGTGTGACAGGACCCAAAATCCGAATAGCCAGACCGGGACCTGGGAAAGGATGACGTTGAACCAAAGGCGCTGGTATTGACAGGAGTCTTCCAAGCGCACGGACTTCATCTACATGAAACGGTCAGTGCAATAGGCAATACAGGATTCCCTTGACCAGACCTTTGAAGAGCTCGCGTAGGGGTTCGATTGACGTCCTTGAGAAGCCCACCAACATTGTGATGCGTCGTGGTGGTCGCGCTAGGGCCCTTAAAACTGATGCTCCCGATAACATCTGGATATAGGGCTCCTTGCAATAGCCATTCGATCTTCCCCTTTGCCTGCGCTCCGTTTTCTTCCTTCTCGGCAGCTTCCTCGATCTTCGCTGCTTCCGTCTCGAAAACACCCCATAATCTTGCGTTTCTGTTCCGGATTCTCGACATCATCAAGTCGCATCTGCTACAGTCAGGTTGACGCCCAGATCTTTATTCAACTTGTTGCGCTTCGTTGAGACAAAGCATGCCGTTGTCCACCATAATCTGACGCGCGAGTAAGAGTAAGTTATGAAAAGAACGTGGTGTGCGCCTGTCGCCGATTGCCTCGCGCATTAACTTGGCTGTGACTGTGCTGTCAACACCTCCGCTGACTACGCCGATCACGCGGCCTCTCGGACCACATATCTCACGGATGCGAACGATTTCCTGGCCAATAAATTCCTCCTGCAATGCAGTGAGCATGACAAATAAACGCAACGCAGTAATTACTTCACCATTGTCCAATTTGGTCGGCATTGGCATATATTCAGCACAGATCGACCAATGAGCTGCTTTCCTGGCGGGGAATGCGTCGAATGCCATGAAGCGACTTCGAGTTATGTGCGATGGCAGTATAAGGAGCGGCGTTCGTCCGTCCGATGACATGGAAGTCGGGAGGCATAACGGACAGTTGATCGCCGTGTGACATCCAGACCTTATCAAAAGTCAACTTGGCTTTCGATAGACGAAACGAAGACACGCACCTGCATCTGATCGCCGAGTCCTTCAAACAGGGCGTCAACAGAGCTTACCGATTCACTAGACCTGCTGATCTGAACTTCTGCAAGTCCGTATTCGCGATGATCGCATTTTGCTACCCGTCCCTTGTGATTCCAGCAGATCTCCTGTATCTCGCGTGAGTTAGCGCCCAAGAAGATGCTCGAGAAAACTAGACCTGGAAGGCATAGCGCATGCCAAGGATAGGGACGCCCAGAGTGTAGATACCAGGGTACACGTGTGGTGCATCGTCGTCGTACGCAGAGTATGGATATCCGGAGAGGATGATCCCTAGAATTTTGCGTCAGAAACGCTGCATCACATGAGCGAACCTGTGGGCTTGAATTTGAGATCTGCCAGCTTTGACGTACAATGAATAAGCTCTGCGTATACGTTCAATTCGCGACATCTCCTTGTTATGAGGTGACTGTAATACTAGTAAGCCGACGCTAATAGTCAATACGCGAGACGATTTGAGTTAGAACGCAGATCCCGAACCTGTGAACCGAAGTAAAGAATGAGGATGGTATCGAACTGATCGTGTATTTCGGCCATGTTTTGTGATTGAGGACTCTCAAGGCAGACTTGACGGAGAGTGGCACGATCTCTGTCGAGGAAGACCGTCTTCAAGAAGCCATAGGCACCCGTGGGAAACTTCGCGTTTCTGGCAAACGCCCTGTTCTGAACTTCTGAGCTTGCGCTTTTGTACGACACCATATTGTAACGCCGCTTGATCACGCGGCAAGTCCCCAACGTTGCAACTCCCATCTTACCAAGAAAATATTTATCGATGCATCACTGCAAGATATCAAGTCACGACGGAGAAGCCGCGTGTTTTTCTCCATGCCCTTGTCATAAATATCCTGACCATCCCGTGCAAGTCGTGAACCATACATATCCCTTTATTTATGAGATGCACTACATATTTCGTGAGCCAGGAGTCTGTCATTTGACCCTAGAAGCTGATTTATCTGATGTGAACGGTACCCACTTGTCTCCCAGTTGATCAAGGAGAACAATCCAGAATTTGGTGAGCTATCATACCAACCCTGTGTTCTCGCGCTGAAGCCTTCAAATAGATAATATGTATCTCGACTTCAATGGAATCATTCACAACTGTGATTGATTATTTGAGATGCAGCGTAGACTGGCGTGTTCAACTTTCGTTTTGAGCTCGCATCCAAATGATGAAGATGCGCACTTTAGGATGTCCGAAAAGCAAATATTTATTGCAGTAGACGGCGTGGCACCCCGGGCAAAGATGAATCAGTAACGAAGTCGACGGTTTCGCGCTGCCAAGGAAGCAAAGGAAATCAGAGAGAAGGCTGAGTCGAAAGGAGAAGAACTACCAGATGAGAAGGCCTTTGATAGTAATTACATTACGCCAGGTGCGTTCTGCGTCGTTTCATATGGCATCATATCATTTATTCCGTCTTAGGCGCTCCTTTCACGGTCAGGCTATCCGCGCAGCCATGATACTTTGTCAACAAGAAGATTACCGAAGATACTAATTGGCGTGGCGTGCAAGCTGTATTATCCGGTCATGAAGCACCGGGTGAAGGTGAACACAAGATCATGGAATACATTCGACCACCGAGAGCCTGATTATAACCCGAACGTGCGGCATTGTTTGTACGGTCCTGATGCCGATCTCATCATGCTTAGCCCTCTGAGTCATGATCCACACTTCTGTCTCTTGCGAGAGCAAGTAAAGTTCGGGCCTGCCGCGAAGAGGAAGGGTAACGTCAGGTATTTCGTAGTTTTTGTGCTAGGCAGATTAACTGAACGCCGGCGCAAGTCTGGAGAACCTCGACTTCTACCTTCTACATCTCTCGCTAATGCGTGAATACTTGGACCTCGAGTTTCGTGATATAGAAGACGTTCTTGCATTTGATTAAAGCCTAGAGCGAGTCATCGATGACTTCATTCTCCTGGCCGTCTTCGTCGGAAACGATTTTCTACCTAATCTTCCAGATTTACACATCCACGAGAACGGACCGGAACGCCTGTTTGATGCGTACAAGAAAGTTTTCCCGTCGCTGGGTAAGTCCTGAACTTTCATTCTTTCGCACATTGGCTTAGCGACTGTTTCAGATAAAACGAGGGTGGGGTCATTAATACCAAGCGACTGCAGGTCGTCCTGAACGAAACTACTATATGGGAGCGAGAGATCTTTGAGAAAGAATACGCGGACTCGAATTGGTTCAAGGGAAAGCGGAGCAAACGCGTCCAAGAAATGAAACTTGTGCGCAAGCGTGTCAAGCTTGGTACAGTTCTCCGCTCTTCCTGTCGACAACCAACAATTAATCCGTGTTAGTTCTTACACGCTTTCAACGAGACATTTTCGATCAAGTACAGCAGTTTGTCTTGCAAAATCGTCAGAGTACCGAACTGCAGCACTGGGTAACTTCAGTTCTTCTTCTAATACAGCGTCTCACTAGCTGGTAGAACAACATCGCCGGGAATGCAAACTTTTCAACTGTATCTTCTCAACGTCAAACATGCGACGACTCCACGTATACGGTACCCTCGCGTCCAAACTTCCCCGCCTGTATGTACCATGATCTTGCACTCACGCATAATTCCATTGACCTTCCGTGCAAATAGATCGTTGTCCTCCCATGGCTACCTCGCTGCGCCGGATGTCGAATTGTTGGGGCCATCAAGTAGGTCGCAACGTTTCCGTGAGTTAAAAAACATTGATCTTTATCGTTGCAGCGTCATGGGTTAGAGCTTAGGTTTGAGACCGCCCAAAGTCGACATGATCATCCTTTGAACAGATCCACTCGTTCTGATGCGACCGACCCCATATATCCGAAGGCGATGTTATACGACGTTGTCGGCAACCACTGACAGAACTAAGCATTCAAGACTGCGAGATTGTCGAGGCTCCACTAGACTTGACGCTTGGCGATTGGGACTGGTTGACAGGTATGTCGCTTGAGGCTATATTCTACACAGCCGCGCCGAACTCGGAACAGTTTGGTCGACAGCTCATCGACAACATGAAGTAAGTCATTGATCGTCCTCCAGTATGTAAACGCACGGACTGATCTGCGTCTAGAATCGTTGATCACGTTCAATCAGTGACGCTCTCCACAACGTCTGCAAAATGCGTGGTCATCACAACGATTTACAAACCCCGCTAATCAGCGTCGTTCAGACTTGCTTCTGGAATCACCAGTTCTAGACGCCTACTCAGGAGCATAAATTTGTATTTTATTCACGGGCTTTGAAACTGAATCGTTGCTACAGATTCAACAAACTAATGACTTGGACTTAGCGCCTCGGTAGGTTCATTGTACGTCGAGATTACTTCCGTCCTGGAGAAAGAGCTTTTTCTTTCGCTCTTCTCAGATGCGAAACGCTAGTTCAGCACATACATTGACTTGGAACGGGTTTGAACAGCGAGGTCGCGTTGGATCTAACCATTAACGTTTTTCCAGGAGACCATTTCAATACCTTCAGTTGGTGAGTCCTTTGGGCTCTTACCTCGCATGATTTTCAAGTTCCCGCAGGCTCACTTCGCATGGGGCAAATGGCTTGCGACTCAAATATTGTACTCCGGAGCAAGACTAATGGAAGCCGATTTTGGGGCTCTGACAGAGTTGGGATCCGTAGATTCTGCAGTAACGTCGCGGAAGATGCTATCCAAATGCCCCCATATTTTCGACCGCGAATGCGTCGAACGGTATCTAAACGCAGCCGGAGACATCATGGTCAGTTTTTCCTTTTATTAGTATTCTTCGGTTCTAAATTTATTCTAGCCCGACGGTCTATCCCGTTCGCCACCTTGCCCTTGTCATCGACCTCGACTCAGGCTCCGGCGCCCTGAAACTTGAAGTAGACGTTCTTTCTACTCGATGAGACTACTCAATCTTGTGTGGCAGTCTTCCTCCAAAACCGAGGCGCTTGTTCTAGTCTTCACTTCCGAGATCCCTCTAGATCCTGTTACTCAACCAACTGGAGGCGAGGCGAACACAATTTCCGAGAGCTCCAGTCAGCAAACCTTACCCATTGGAAGCTGATTTCCAGCATTGGACGTATCGCTGAAGGCGCCTTAGGGCCGATCTCATCAGCGAGCGGTAGTGAAGTTCTCAATCTCTACTTTGGCTGATCCACAATGAGTTTTATCCGCCTTTATGAGTCGTTACTAATCTGCCCTAGCACAATCTAACCATACTCCAAACGCCATCTATAACAACGAGAAAAATTAAATCACCTCTTCTTAAAGCGGAGTCAGTTGGGAAGCCGATTACGCGGGCGATCCGGTAATGGATTCCATAGCGTTGCGTGAGTGGTCTGAGGTCGTTGAACTTTCGAGATCATTGCAGGATTTAGAAGCCTCAGTTAGTAAGTCCACTACCGAAGTTCCTCCCGCGTACCAGGATGACGAGATCCCGATAGTTATCACTGCTCTCCTGAGAGCAAATTCATGACCTATTTGCATCCATCGCTCAGAACTTTGAAGATCCTGCTCCGATAACTCGATTTCTCGCCGCTGATTTGGAGGACCGGGCCTATTCCATAACGATCTCAGCGCGCAAGCCCCTTCGTTCCGATTTTAAACATGCGGTAGCCTCGAGGTGCGCTCAAGAAGGTTTGTAATGATCAATCCTTTGTCGCTGAGGTCGTTTCTAACCTAACGAGCGAATGCAGGATTCGCCGAGGCTTGCGGCTGAGTACTCCACGTTTCTCGCGTGCCAACTGTCCACTACATTACTCTTATCCTGGAAGGGGTCGAGAGTCCTGATGACGTTATCTCGGATACGCAGGAGTGGTTGCAGGCACTGTCTGGCTCTGAGCCAAGCTGGATCAAGGCTCTGATTATCATTCATTCAACCGAGTCTTCACCTGCGTGAGAGTTCCGATTTCCGCTGGGCAAAACATAGTTGAGTTGACCATATTGGAACGATGCGTTGCAAAGGTGACAAAGACAGATTTGCGGGAGTCAAGTCTATCTAGCTCTGTAAGTAGAACGTTCACGACATACGTGGAGGATCCTGACTGTTTGGATAGGAACATGAGATACGTTGAGATAGAGAATGGAGGGGATGCGCACCATACATTCGTCTCTCTCCGAGGGACGAGAGCGTTTAGCTCATCGAAGATCACGCAGAGGGGATAGTACTACTCACAGAATTCTGTAAATAGCATGAAATGGACTCGTCAAAACAACTCGCTGTTGACTTGTCATTGTTACACAGAACTCTCGTCCGATCCAACCAGTCGCTCACATCTTGCAGCGCTTTACAACGCCCTTCTCTAGAAAAACCTACTGCGTACCGTTGAGCCGTACTCGGTGATAGAGATTGATTACGTCGTGAGGCCAAGCGCGTATTACATTTTCTCTGTGAAAAGTAGCTGATGTCGTGTTGCGGGCTATCCCAGACGATCTTGGACAAGGTGTTCATGGCGTGCTGGATCAGGAACGAGGGTGCCCGATCGTATTTGATGAGCTAGAAGCCGACGTACGTCCCCTCTTCCGGGTCCCATTCATTCCCTCCATGCTCATATTCTTTTTTCACAACGCGTGAGGTGCAACAATCGGGACTCTGGAGTAAGTTAGCAAGGTCATAGACTCGTATGCCCAAGTACGTCCGTTTATTTTTTTGTCCGCTTGTACACGCCCTTGAAAAAGTTGTAGGTGCGCTTCTGTTTCGTCCTTACTTGTGCTGATCGCCTTAAGGCAGTAGAATGTATGTAACGCGCAGCATTCTATGAGATATTTTAATGTTGTTATATTTCACGTAGATCTATGACTTCACGAACTCGCAACTTACGCACCACCAAACCTATGTACTGTCTTCCCCGACTTTCATTAAGCAGGCCGATGGATATGCCAAGTACACCGAAAATGCGGTCTTAGTTGCAACTAACCTACGTTCTCCCGCTTCAGAGTAGTATACGTACCAGCTCCTTTCTAAAGCTAACGATGACGCATGCTACGCCAAACATCCAGCGAATCCCACCCTAAGCCCACTCAGACGACCGCGGACTGCTGAGGACGAAGCCAGCAAACCTGCGGTTCATCCCCATCCGTACCAGCGACAGCAACGATGACGCCCACACCAGACGAATGCTGGTTCTCAAACATGTCCAACCTCGTGTCTAGCCAGAAATGGTTCTTCGGCGCTATCGGCGTAGTAGTGTTCCTTCTTCGGAGAGATGCCGGATGGAGCATCGAGTGTACGGCTGCTTCTTGTCTGCTCCCGGTGACTAGACTGGATGTATATCATGTCTGTATGTTCTACATCGGTCGACTGTACTACTAACCTCATTAGCATCTTAATTCACACCCTTCTCCTCGTTGCACCCACCATCAACGCTGTCAACTTTTTCTACGCGGCCACCGCATGTGCTTCTATGACGAGGAGGGAGTGGATGTTGGCGGAGTTACTCGAGAATGGTTTCAGATCCTGGTATGCCAGATGTTTGATCTCGATTAAAGGAGATTATCTGCCTGACAGTAAGAGACCGATCAATGGGCGCCGGGACGGTACTACAGACGCAACTTGCGAGATGGTCGGAATAGGACTCTTCGAGGATGAGAAGTTGATGGCAATGAGGCCTCAAAAATTCTCCGCCGCTGAAACCTGTAAGCGGAGTTGATGGGGATAGTCCATAGCCCACATGGCGACCAAGGCCAGGATGCTGTCAGTACAATACTGCAAGAAAGGCATGACCCTAATGGTTTGATGGGAATTTTCCAGATTTAAGTCCTCATGTTCGAGAAGCTGCAACAAGGCTGCGATATATACATTGACCTGAAATTGTGGAATCAGCTTCTCAACATATTTAACAGCGTAATCTGACGCGGGAATCTTCAAGGTAATAGCCACTGGGAAGCAGATCAAGGCGGCCGGAGAAAACCAAGTCAATGGGGATAGATAATTCAATTTGGTCGCCAATGAAAATTCTGCATGCTTTGTCTCCGAGGTTTTACTACGCCGTGTGCAAGGGAACCCCCTTGCGCCACTGCATGATCGCCGTTGCCGCGTGTCAAGGGTCCTTGGTAGAATGAAAGTACCGGTGCGGTCTGATTGACATGTTCCAATAGCTTTAATTGTATAGTGCGTACTATCCTTCGAACGGTGACTGAATGTGTTTGACAGATCTCCTTTTGTTATTATTTAATCGACTTAATCCATCTTTACATGAGCTTTGGCTCTAATCTTTTTAGCTTGCGAACCACCCCTATAGGCATCATCATACTACTATGAACCCGTTATCTGATGCTCATTAGACATGTGCTAACCTTTAACCACTTGGTGATAAGCAGAAAGGGGACTGCACCACTGAGCACATTTATAAGGCAGAGTATCTTGAGCTGAAAGAACAGTTGTTGTAGAACTGTGGTGAGCGTCAGTGGAGGAATAATTAGTGACATCACACCCACGTACATGAGCAATCAGGCCTGGCTACTTCCCATGTTCAACAATAGGAGGAAGAAGCAAAAAGGGTCTTCTGCAGAAGAAGAGCTGCCAGAAGGGTTTTGATATATCCAGAGGGCCAGCTAGCCGCTCCATGCAGTGGACATCTCCATTTGAACAAGTGGATGATGGATCCTATCGCTGGACAGTCGTATTTTGAGCCAGAACTGTCCTCTGTATAAAAACTACTGTAAATAATCTATTCAGTTTGACTAGAAATTTAATTAATCTTTGTCTATCTGAAAGTTTCATCCTAGTGCTCAGTTAATTGGTTCAGGGGAGGATATCAGGCGACTGAGCGCCCACACAGATAATCATCTAGGTCCCCACTTACAAATCCCTGACAATTGCGCATGCTGAATCCCTCACCTTCTCTGATCATCACCACAAAAAAGCCCTGAGTACTCCACACCAGTTGGGGATATCATGGTGCTCCCAGTTTGAAGCTATGAAATCCAAAAGTGTGAGATTCAACGTTCAATGAACCAATATCTTGCATATTGATAATTTAATATAATATTCACGTACCAATATAGCAGGAGCCTAATGCTATGATGTTGACTTATATAAGTCCTGTCATCATCTTGGTTGCGCAACCATAATTACTGGGTGCAGTAAGTTACGCCTTTGAAACTCTCCTACTTCTCCCCAAGCTTTGCACGCTTAACGCAAGTTTATTCTACATGAACACCGTGATTTCCATCAATTCAGGCTAGTGTTCATGTCATTTTCCTCTAACTACTTTTTATCCTGATGCAACTTGTAATAGCCTCAGATTCTGGTTACCGTGACTCCTTTGAATCCACAGGGAGCACTGGTACATTTGGTCCGCCCCCAAGTCAACCCAGAATTGTGATATCACCTTCGCAGTTGGAGTGGGGTGGCGCTATGCAGATGATTACAAGTGAGTTCTTTCACTATTTGTTGTCAAAGTCATTTGTTGACGTGTGGCAAAGGTTCTCAGATCATGGAAGTCCTTCACCGTTTGGATGCCAAGGTTGACGTTTGGAATCCAAGATTAACCAATTGGATGCCAAGGTTGACCGTAAACAAGACGAACTAGATGAAAAACTGACTACCCATGGAACCAAGTTGTTGAAGTTGAGGAATGCCGCTGAGGACCACAATAAGATAATCTCCTCAGAAATCAAGACGTTGCAGCAAGAAATGCAGGGGATGGAGAAGCGTCCTGATAGATAGGATTGACGAATCGACCACATCCCAGAAGACTGGGCTTGATGAATTGGTTGAGTCGCAGAAGACCATCTTCGATAGACTCTTTGCTTTGTTCAAACAATAACTCACGTTTGCTATAGTCATGGTCGTTCATTCAAAGCTGTTGTACTAGTAGTACTAGGATTGCTGCGCATTCATACATGTAACAAAGGTTTTCGTCCACAGACTTAGAGGTACCCTCACCTATATGTTATATCTACGTTCCAGCAGCTTTGTAGTACCTCAATCAGTATTCACTGTCACGGTGGAAGCCAATCCCAAGTGGGCATACCTCAGGCTGCACTTGTCCATCGTCGCTGTACTGGTGGACCCTTTGCCGTTGTCACAGATCTTGAAACTTCGTTTCCCTGGTCACTGGGGGGGTGTGACACCTAGATGATAATTCTTGTTCGTGGGCCCAGCCTGGACCTGAACACAGGTCGCCAAGTGGGCATACCTCAGGCTGCACTTGTCCATTGTCGCTGTACTAGTGGACCCTTTGCCGTTGTCACAGATCTTGAAACTTCTTTTCCCTGGTCACTGGGGGTGTGACACCTAGATGATGCTAGCGCAGCTACAGTGGGTGGTGGATATTCCTACTGACGCCCAGTCTCCCCGTGAATATTCCTCCCTCATCCGTTTGTGACTATGTATCCAACCCCTCAAACTGCAGCCCCCCTGAGGTGCACCCTGTGCCACCACCCCATCCATACTCACTAATTGCTCTCTACACTTGATGATGAAGGAGATCCTTGAAAGCACAGCTCTCTTGGATGCGCTCTCCTGAAAAAGCAAAGCAAAGCTATGCAACCTGGGGATCCCATAACTCATTCACGTTCCTTGTTCGGTCATGGGCCACTGCCAGCTGTCATCTGCATGCTGTGCTTCGAGGAGATCGCACTCAGATTTAGAATCTTGGCTGGGGACCGTGGACGGGTGTGCTTGGCTGCAGATAAGTCTGGCGGGCAGGACAGGACTGTCTGCAGACCCATGTAGGACAAGACTAGCTGCAAACCCAGGAAGGACGGGACTGGCTGCAGACGTCATATGGCCAAGTGTAGCAATCCGCTCCCAGGGCACCCTTCTGGGTGACTATGGCAGAATTCTGAGTACGTTGGTCCCGTGTGCTCCAAATCTATGGGATGACATGCTTGACCGTAAATCCATTCTTTTGGAATTGTCATTGTCCTTTCCTGGCTCGATTGGCTGTGGTATTTGAAGGGTCTGCGTTCATGTCTTGATATCTTATCTGAAGAACAGAAACTTATTCCAGGTTCGGTTGTTCTTTTCCATTTCATGAACCCCTTATAATTCCCTCTCATCCTCAGTTTTAACCTGCCAATGTACAACCCAGTGAAGGATGGTAAAAGGAAGCCTAGGCGGCACGCGTATCCATCTATCAAGAATTCTCTCCGATTTCTTGAGTAGTGACGCATTCTAAATGCCTATTCACTGGTTCCACAATTGCGTGCCTATGCTTAGTTTGATGACTCGGACTGCATAGAGAAGATCTTCGCATTTGCTTTTGTTACGTTCTGTATCATCTACAGCGCTGTTACAATGTTACACCAATGGAACACCCCTCATATATTCTGGGCTCTCCTTTATACGCGGTACCACCAGTACTTACGACTTGCCTATCTTATAATGGAGACTACTACATTGTTAGTGTATATATACTATCAAATTGAATGAAATGTGGTACAGTTATCATCTTCCGATCGAGTTGCTGCTGACTAGGACTTTTCATTGGCGTCTTTTCGGGTATGAGGGACACCGCTGGACAAAATTAAACAAATAGTTGCACAGTGAATTCAAAATTTTTGACGGAAAAGCAATGGTCGAATCAGAGAAAAGGATTTTAATTCCCTCAAGATTGTATCTTCCTGTTGCAATCTTTGTTGCTGCTGTCCCATTCGTGGATCCGATCACAACTTGCACACCATCTGGACTCCAACATATCGATGTTGACGTCTTCGCTGGGCTCTTTCCACCTCACTGTCCCATCAAGATAGCGGCTGGCCAGTGGCAACAGCTCTGCCGCTTGGAGACAATGTCATGTTCCATACTGCTATTACATCCCCTCATTTCACCAATCTTTGCGTACATGTGTACATCTCCCTAGGTCTCACAGTCGAAGTGAGCTGTCTCTCGAAACATGTGATGATGCGCTGCCCACCGGGCAGGTGCGCAACGCCTCGGACTAGCTTAGTATGGCCTCACATCATCTTTATTGTTGACGCCTTTTGATCTTAGCAGCCGTGGAAGACATGGCCGGCGCTCAGGGGTTCTCAACTAAGGATAATATGAACTATACGTGCCAGAGCAGCTCGTTGGAGCCTAACACCAAGATCGTCGGTGAGTCAACAAGCCTATGTGATTTCTCCTGAACGACTGTCAATCGACGTACATGAGGCGTTCCACACGAGAGAGTTGGAAACTTCGTGATGTTGTATGCAGCAGGTTTTCGATGCTGGTTAAGTACAGACATCCGCCCAGGCCCTAAAGCAGGCGCAAGTACTAGTCTACTAGACCAGCACCGCCTCCGGCCGAGACAGAAGTGGCGGTCGGCACTGGGTAGAGTTTCCAGCTTCGTCTGACTCAAGAGTCGCTGACACGATCTATTAGGTTGGGCTGGGCCGAGTGTTAGCTCGGGTGGGGCACGAGCAGGTGGTATGACTCTTCGAGTAGCTTTGAAATCGTAAAATATAAATTGATGCGATAAACTATAAGACACTTGATTAGTGGAGTGCTGATGCAGTGCAATGAATGACGAACTCGACGTCGTGGCGGAGAGAAAAACGAATGAAGGAAGCGCATCTGCTCAACTGGACGCATGGTACCGGGATATTCCGGCAGGCTACACGCAGCACCTGGACATTGTAATTGTGAAGTGAGCTAGAAACGATTGGTTTTCAGTCGAAAATTTTGAATTTCACCGTGCAACTATTTGTTTAATTTTGTCCCAGCGATTGCCCCTCATATTCGGGCCCCAATGCACATACATGCTTCTTTTCATTTTCATTTTGATTGTCGTTTGACGTCCCTTCTGAATTCTCCGTCCATTCTTTTTTCGGAGTTCCGTCACATCACATAAACACAAGATTATCTCTTTCATGAGCCTTTCCTCACATACTACTTATCTTCCAGAACTCGTAGAGCACTGCATCTCAACAGTTCCCATTGTTTGTTGAAGTATATACAAATTCTCCCCCTTACATGAGCCTGAGAACCCCTGAAAAATTCAGCCTCCCGGGCCAGTGCCGGCATGTCACGACGAGCTTTCATTGAAAGTGGGATCAAAATTGCCAAAAGGATCCACAAGGGTTTACTGATTATGATGCAGAATCAAATTGAAATTTCCACCCTATGAAGTTCTGTGCAAGTCGCCGTGCCGAGGACAGTCACAAAATAGGTACTTCGGTAGTTCTTCTGGTGAAGAGTCTCAAAAAATACATATCTAGTATGCGCATGCGTTGGCCATGACAAGTTTCTGAGTAGCTCCTACTTTTTGTGAACTTTCTTACCTTTGCTGGCCTACTAGATGTCTGGGAAAGTATGTTATACCGTATCTGATGCCAGAATATATCTATTGACTCAACCTCCCCAGGCAGAACTGACCATAAAATTTCTCATCGTTGGTGGCGGAATTGCAGGCCTGGCGTGCGCGATAGCACTTAGGCGAGTCGGCCATCATGTAGTTGTTCTCGAACAATACTCTGATATAGACATTTTGGAGGTCAGTATCCCACAATTATCTACATCATTGCATTCTCAATGCGTCACTGGACAGATGTTGCACGGGGGCATTCGATTGCCTCCAAATGCCTCGAAAGTTCTCTTTCATTGGGGCCTTGAGCGTGCTCTTCGGCAGGTATCCATGACGTCTAGCGCTATAGAGGTTGAGATTTGTTCGTGCCCATCGGCACCTCACCTCCACTCTATAACTGACTACTACATCTACAGACGAAACCGGCGGGTTTATTGGTATGCATCTTTGGGAAGAAGAGGTTCTGCGAGAGACTAGAGGAGACTTCCTCTTCCTACATGTATGTAATCTTCTGTCCTCGCATCACATTAATTTCATCTGTTCATACAGCGCGCCAGTCTCCGGAAAGTTTTGTACGATACGGCGATAGCAGCAGGCGCTGAAGTGCGAGCAGGCACAACCGTTGTCTCTGTAAGTGGTGATGGCCCTCGTGTGAAGTTGACCACGGGGGAAACGCTGCTGGCCGATGTGATTGTTGGTGCCGATGGCCATTCGAGTGTGGTGCAACAAGCAATTGTCGGTAAGGATGTTCTTGACGCAGCGCCATATCAATCATTATTCTACGAGTAAGCATTGCTCCGGACTTCGCTAGTATGACTCGTTGCCTAACTGCCTTAGTACTACTATCCCGGGAGCACTTATGAGAGCCGATCCTCAATTGGAACCCTTCTTTAAACAACCCGTTGTAAGTTGCACACGCGTGCGATTATGATTGGGTTCAATGTGACGTTCAGGAGACTATGTTTATTTGGTTGGGCAATAATCGCTCGGCTGTGGCGTTCCGTATGGTACGCTAACATTCGTGAAGTGCCGCGCTTAATCTAACAGCTACGGAGTAGGGCGCTAAGGATGAGTTTGCGCTACACATGTGGGTGCGTCCCATGAAAAAGGGGCTATCCGATGATGATGATGGCTGGGAAGGAGGCCTTGATTTAAAGGAGATGCGGCAGCAGCTTGGAGAATGCGAACCGAGGTATGATCTATCTCGTGAAGTTTGTTTATTCTGGCTGATTGAAAATCTCAGACTCTTAAAGATGACCAAATTGGCGGCCACACCTGCCTGCGTACAGGTCAAGATGGTTCCACCAATAGAGGATTGGGTTGATGACCATGGTCGTATGGTAATTATAGGCGAGGCTGCACATCCACTTCCAGCATGTTATCACTCTGACCGTGGGATGACACATTGCGCTGACGCTTCCTTCAGGCAGGATCCTTGCAGGGCGGCGCAATGGCTGTAGAAGACGCCGCTGTGCTTGCAAAGCTTTTTCTCCCATCTGCGAAATCAGGACCAAATATTGACATTTTTACATGCTTTTCAAGATCTTCGGGAAGATCGCTGCGCCAGCGTCATGCATACTGAACAATGCAATCTCTATTTCCAAATGATTGCCGGCTGGTCCTCAGCAGGAGCAATACAATCAGGAGATGCGCGCCAGGACTGCTCAAGGGGAAAGCGTTTTTTGGCATCAGCGAAGCTTCTGAACAATGGGAGCAGCTCAAAGAACTTTGGGAATATGATGCTGAGGATGAAGCCGACGACTGGTGGGTCAAGTGGGGCCTTCTCCGTGAGCGAGCGAAGCAGCGATTGTTAGACATGGAAGCAGAAATAAACACCGCGCGGCTGCGTAGTCTCCGTATGCGAGCATGATGAGTGCTCTCCCCCTCTCTTTATTATATCATGTATTCACATATATTGCTCATTCCTTTGGTAATTGCTCTCTGGACAACGCAGTCATTCCATCATCGTTTCTTTCCGTAATCTCGTTACGTCGCTGTTCTCTCTTTATTATATTACGTTTAGTGTATTCACATTTATTGCTCATTCCTTTGGTAATTGCTCTCTGGACAACACGGTCATTCCATCACCATTTCTTCACGTAATCGCATTACATCGCTGTTCTCAAGACATCTATATGTCATCACACTTTTAATATTACGCGGCGTCTAAGCTTCTCAGAGTCATTGAACAGAGATTAACAAATATCTAGGTTCGAGCTGCCTGAGGTGCCCCAGTGACCTCTTGTGTTCAAGTTGTTTGCTTTCCTCGACTATAATGGCCTCTATCAGACTCAAATCAAAGACCTTAGCATCAAGTCATCCTTCAACATTTTGCTCTTCGGCGTCGCATTATTGACTCCCAGTACAGGAGGCAGGCCTTGTTCACAAACGGCTGCGTCTCAGAAGATACAGAGTGAGTCATAACACGAGCTTTGATGAAGTAGATTCGCGACATTACTGCAGAGTCTACGGATCCCAACTCTGTCAGAGCCCCAAAATCGGCTTCCATTAGTCTTGCTCCGGAGTACAATATTTGAGTCGCAAGCCATTTGCCCCATGCGAAGTGAGCCTGCGGGAACTTGAAAATCATGCGAGGTAAGAGCCCAAAGGGACTCACCAACTGAAGGTATTGAAATGGTCTCCTGGAAAAACGTTAATGGTTAGATCCAACGCGACCTCGCTGTTCAAACCCGTTCCAAAGTCAATGTATGTGCTGAACTAGCGTTTCGCATCTGAGAAGAGCGAAAGAAAAAGCTCTTTCTCCAGGACGGAAGTAATCTCGACGTACAATGAACCTACGAGGCGCTAAGTCCAAGTCATTAGTTTGTTTGAATCTGTAGCAACGATTCAGTTTCAAGCCCGTGAATAAAATACAAATTTATGCTCCTGAGTAGGCGTCTAGAACTGGTGATTCCAGAAGCAAGTCTGAACGACGCTGATTAGCGGGGTTTGTAAATCGTTTGTGATGACCACGCATTTTGCAGACGTTGTGGAGAGCGTCACTGATTTGAACGTGATCAACGATTCTAGACGCAGATCAGTCCGTGCGTTTACATACTGGAGGACGATCAATGACTACTTCATGTTGTCGATGAGCTGTCCGACCAAACTGTTCCGAGTTCGGCGCGGCTGTGTAGAATATAGCCCTCAAGCGACATACCTGTCAACCAGTCCCAATCGCCAAGCGTCAAGTCTAGTGGAGCCTCGACAATCTCGCAGGTCTTGAATGCTTAGTTCTGTCAGTGGTTGCGACAACGTCGTATAACATCGCCTTCGGTATATGGGGTCGGTCGCATCAGAACGAGTGGATCTGTTCAAAGGATGATCATGTCGACTTTGGGCTGGTCTCAAACCTAAGCTCTAACCCCATGACGCTGCTTGCAACGATTAAAGATCAATGTTTTTAACTCACGGAAACGTTGCGACCTACTTGATGGCTCCCAACAATTCGACATCCGGCGCAGCGAGGGTAGCCATGGGAGGACAACGATCTATTTGCACGGAAGGTCATGGAATTATGCGTGAGTGCAAGATCATGGTACATTACAGCGGGAAGTTTGGACGCGAGGGTACCGTATACGTGGAGTCGTCGCATGTTTGACGTTGAGAAGATACAGTTGAAAAGTTTGCATTCCCGGCGATGTTGTTCTACCAGCTAGTGAGACGCTGTATTAGAAGAAGAACTGAAGTTACCCAGTGCTGCAGTTCGGTACTCTGACGATTTTGCAAGACAAACTGCTGTACTTGATCGAAAATGTCTCGTTGAAAGCGTGTAAGAACTAACACGGATTAATTGTTGGTTGTCGACAGGAAGAGCGGAGAACTGTACCAAGCTTGACACGCTTGCGCACAAGTTTCATTTCTTGGACGCGTTTGCTCCGCTTTCCCTTGAACCAATTCGAGTCCGCGTATTCTTTCTCAAAGATCTCTCGCTCCCATATAGTAGTTTCGTTCAGGACGACCTGCAGTCGCTTGGTATTAATGACCCCACCCTCGTTTATCTGAAACATCGCTAAGCCAATGTGCGAAAGAATGAAGTTCAGGACTTACCCAGCGACGGGAAAACTTTCTTGTACGCATCAAACAGGCGTTCCGGTCCGTTCTCGTGGATGTGTAAATCTGGAAGATTAGGTAGAAAATCGTTTCCGACGAAGACGGCCAGGAGAATGAAGTCATCGATGACTCGCTCTAGGCTTTAATCAAATGCAAGAACGTCTTCTATATCACGAAACTCGAGGTCCAAGTATTCACGCATTTAGCGAGAGATGTAGAAGGTAGAAGTCGAGGTTCTCCAGACTTGCGCCGGCGTTCAGTTAATCTGCCTAGCACAAAAACTACGAAATACCTGACGTTACCCTTCCTCTTCGCGGCAGGCCCGAACTTTACTTGCTCTCGCAAGAGACAGAAGTGTGGATCATGACTCAGAGGGCTAAGCATGATGAGATCGGCATCAGGACCGTACAAACAATGCCGCACGTTCGGGTTATAATCAGGCTCTCGGTGGTCGAATGTATTCCATGATCTTGTGTTCACCTTCACCCGGTGCTTCATGACCGGATAATACAGCTTGCACGCCACGCCAATTAGTATCTTCGGTAATCTTCTTGTTGACAAAGTATCATGGCTGCGCGGATAGCCTGACCGTGAAAGGAGCGCCTAAGACGGAATAAATGATATGATGCCATATGAAACGACGCAGAACGCACCTGGCGTAATGTAATTACTATCAAAGGCCTTCTCATCTGGTAGTTCTTCTCCTTTCGACTCAGCCTTCTCTCTGATTTCCTTTGCTTCCTTGGCACGCGAAACCGTCGACTTCGTTACTGATTCATCTTTGCCCGGGTGCCACGCCGTCACTGCAATAAATATTTGCTTTTCGGACATCCTAAAGTGCGCATCTTCATCATTTGGATGCGAGCTCAAAACGAAAGTTGAACACGCCAGTCTACGCTGCATCTCAATATCAATCACAGTTGTGAATGATTCCATTGAAGTCGAGATACATATTATCTATTTGAAGGCTTCAGCGCGAGAACACAGGGTTGGTATGATAGCTCACCAAATTCTGGATTGTTCTCCTTGATCAACTGGGAGACAAGTGGGTACCGTTCACATCAGATAAATCAGCTTCTAGGGTCAAATGACAGACTCCTGGCTCACGAATATGTAGTGCATCTCATAAATAAAGGGATATGTATGGTTCCACTTGCACGGGATGGTCAGGATATTTATGACAAGGGCATGGAGAAAAACACGCGGCTTCTCCGTCGTGACTTGATATCTTGCAGTGATGCATCGATAAATATTTTCTTGGTAAGATGGGAGTTGCAACGTTGGGGACTTGCCGCGTGATCAAGCGGCGTTACAATATGGTGTCGTACAAAGCGCAAGCTCAGAAGTTCAGAACAGGGCGTTTGCCAGAAACGCGAAGTTTCCCACGGGTGCCTATGGCTTCTTGAAGACGGTCTTCCTCGACAGAGATCGTGCCACTCTCCGTCAAGTCTGCCTTGAGAGTCCTCAATCACAAAACATGGCCGAAATACACGATCAGTTCGATACCATCCTCATTCTTTACTTCGGTTCACAGGTTCGGGATCTGCGTTCAACTCAAATCGTCTCGCGTATTGACTATTAGCGTCGGCTTACTAGTATTACAGTCACCTCATAACAAGGAGATGTCGCGAATTGAACGTATACGCAGAGCTTATTCATTGTACGTCAAAGCTGGCAGATCTCAAATTCAAGCCCACAGGTTCGCTCATGTGATGCAGCGTTTCTGACGCAAAATTCTAGGGATCATCCTCTCCGGATATCCATACTCTGCGTACGACGACGATGCACCACACGTGTACCCTGGTATCTCCGACCCCTACCCTGATTTCGAAGTATGAAGATACCGGCCCGACATGAATTGTACAGCATGAAACAAACTCAGCAAGTATATTTACTCGAGCGGCTATGCGCCTGCATCATAGACTATCCTGCGCGAAGGCGATGCCGTCTTGTTTTGACTCGGTGGGTTTTGCACGCACGCACTTCATTCGCTGACGATGACTCCAGTGCATACGCATATAGCGAGACGAGTCAGTGACTGAAGGGTCGTTATATCGAAGTTTCATTTTTGAGATCCACCTTCTGTCGTCCAACGACGAGGAGAGCGAGAGTGGCTTGACTTGCACGTCGCGATGCCTACTGACTTGGACTTGTAATGCATGAAGAGACCGGAGTGTTAATCAGCCCCAGTAGGGTCTGATGAGTATCATATGAGCAGCTCTAATGAAGGTGACAATAGATTTGTACCTTACTCCGACATAGTTTGCGGGATCCGATCTTTACTATAACGTCAGTCGAATGGTAACGTGGTTTCTGAAACATACTAGATGTCTACCAAGTAGAAAGCCGATCTATTTCGGCATACAAACGGGTCACCCATCACTCGACGGCGGACAGAAGGCAGAAGGGGGTTCGGGTCGCCCGTCATCCCAATACAACCAGCGTTCGCGATGTCGAGATCTTTTGCTGATCTAAGCTTGATGGGCATTGTTTTCAGTGGTATCTAGTCCCGCTCCCGTTGCATAAGCCATACCACAGAGATCTAGTGTTTCACCTGAAGGAGTGTGAGTACATGTAAAGTCAGAAGCACGTTTGGACTCCGAATCCTTACTTGTACGCTGAACGAGATCGGCTACTTCCCGAATTGCTTGGTCCCAAAAAAATTACATAAGCCTAATCCAAGGCGTCATTGTGGGCAGATGCATTCGTCGTTGAGTCCGTTGGCTGAGTAGACGTGGGCAATCTGCCTCGAATGTTGATGTCTACAAATCATCCATGGATATGAGGTGCGAGAAGAGACAAAAACGAACCTGCTCATTATATTGTCTTTGTAAATCTCGTTTCTCCCGCACAAGCTCCCTGACTTGCGCCCGCAACTTTTCAGAAACTTAGATACGAACTGCCATCTCAGCCTCTTCCATCCGCGCCTGATCACCGTACAGATCATTCAAGTGAGATTCTGCCGCATTCAGGGCAGACATGACATGGTCATTCTCAGGTGTCAGACCGCAATTGTTTGCTGCTATTTTGGACTTGGACGAGCAACTGATGTGCGGTCAGTGAAGCACACGCTCTCTCGGGATTAAGAGCGCACCTGTTCCTTCTTTAGATCCCGTGCTCCGGACAAACATTCAGCGACTCACGAGACTCTGGACCCATTGCTAGTGCTGCTTTCACAGAAGAGCGGCGTTGATACCGTTGGGCCCTGTGAATTTGGGGCGCGGACAGAAACCAGAGCTGGGACAGGGTGTAGAAAGGCTCTTCGCGGGGGGTGAGGCGACATGGAAGAAAACGAGAACGGACTTCCTCGGGGCAGAAGTCTGCAGGGTAAGTACTAGACGGTGAGTAGGCGCTTCTTGCCGGAGCGACGTGAAAAATTTGCAGAAAAGAAAAGACCGGGTTAAGGGCAATATCATCCAAGGAAGTTCAATAGTTGGACGAAAGATGCTAAAGCCCGTAGCGCAGCCACCGCTGGCGCCTTCACCGTAGCTCATAGGGTTTGGAGTTGTAAGGGTGGGTGTCAAATAGAGGAGGGAGGCAGGCTGAAGATGGGTTGAAGAGAAGTCGGAGGCAGATGCAGCGTCGTTGGTTAGTAGCAGAGGCTGGGTCGCTCTCCTGCACCAGCGACCCTCTCTGAAATTCGGCGCTAGGACAGAGGTCTGGTTTGTTGGGGTAGAGCATTCAGGTTCAAGTGATAAGAAAGAGAAAAGAAAAAGTCCAGGAGTTTAATATCCAACCGGAGTTCGGGGCCATCATGTGCAGGCGAGAGCCTCCGCGAGACAAGGTGCATGACTCCAAAGGAGGTCAGGGAATGGAGGCAAGACGTGCGCGGCATTGAATTTCACTTGAAGTCTTTTTTTTCACGGTTCGCGCAGTCCAGTTACTGAGGGAACATGGGCTCATCCAAAGGACCCACCGGACTACGCAAGACCACGCCGTTTCGAGTGCGCTCAGCACGATGATGGATCGTACGAGATTAGAGATGTTGTGCTTGCTTACAGGGTCGAGGTACCTGCCTCGTTGATGGAGAACCCTAAATTCGAGTTAGCTCAATGATACGAAAAGAAGCTGGCGTTGACTCACGAGTCGCTATGCGATGAGCTGGCTGAACGCGCAGTAGAGGTTGACGTTCTTCGGCTCCTTGATCATGGAGAACTGACGCCAGAAGAACCCCAGCTTGAGGAAACAGCGATAAACATATACGCGCCTGCGCCGGATGCCAGGTTCCCGTACAATGAATCTCACCTGTTGATAGTTGAGCTTAACAGTCAGCAGATCCCAGCTGGCGCTTACCCTGCCATACAAGTTACAATGAAGCGCCGCAGTCGCCAAGGACTTCAAACAGCAGATACCCAAACCCGTAGTGGTGGTAGTCCACATCAATGGTAAACCGGTCAGGGCATTACTGGACTTCGGTTCCCTGTCAGATTTTATGTCAGTAGCGCTGGCCGAACAACTTAAGTTACCTTTATTTGAGCCTCTAGCCAAATCATCCAACTGGTCGTCCAAGGCTCTTGCTCAAAGGTAAATCATGGCATAAGGGCGCGATTGGAGTATTAATCCATCAAGGCAGAGAGATACTTTAACATGAACAATCTGCAGAATTACGATTTAGTATCGGGGACGCCATTCATGTTCCAACATAAAATATTGATGGGACTCAACCCACCTTGTGTTGTGGTAGGAAGTGCCGAGCCTTGGCCAATGAAGGGCGACGAAGTCACCACACTAGAATCCAGAGCGTCGGAAGTTTACCATGAGAATCTGGATAAGGCGTAGAATAAGACGCAGCTACAACCTCTATCAGAAGCAACTCCATCACGGCGTGCTATGAGATGCTGGTGATATACATTTGCGCCAGTGACTCGGGCGGCCATGGTCCATTGTGGGTAGAGAATATCAGAGGCGCTCCGGTAGGGCACCAAAAATCCCAGACACAGCCAATACTTACTAGGAACCACGGGAACTTGCAGAAGAAGTTGTAGCTTTCTGGGCAGGCACTGAGCATTATCTCATCGTGGTTGTGACAGGTCAGTCATGACTCACGTGACCGTGACGGACTTCACTGGCTCTCAAGCGTTCATAACTTCATCATCGCGCGACGACGCGAATGCACTCGTTCGCTGGGCTACTAGTATTGCTCTCTGAACCCGTTTGTTGAGACACCTCGATGGTCATCTGGGCTCGCTTCATCAACGCTTCAGACAATTTAACAATGCAGTGAAAACAACCCCGACGTCATCTCATTTAAATTCTCCCCTGCAGATCAACTTAGTACGGTTCTACGCCGCAAGCGAGCTACAGCTTACTTCTCATTAAACCGTCACACGAGCGTACTTAGTGACTTCACCAAAGTCCTGGAATTGACTGGTGGAGAATTCGACTGTGCCGTTATGATGATGGCGAAGATCTATACCAAGGAAGGAGACTGGGCTCGTGCCAAGAAGTTACTTACAACATGATACAATAGGTAAGTTGCCGCCAATCAAGCTGCAAACGACATACAACGTATACGTTCAATTCGCGACATCTCCTTGTTTGAGGTGACTGTAATACTAGTAAGCCGACGCTAATAGTCAATACGCGAGACGATTTGAGTTAGAACGCAGATCCCGAACCTGTGAACCGAAGTAAAGAATGAGGATGGTATCGAACTGATCGTGTATTTCGGCCATGTTTTTGATTGAGGACTCTCAAGGCAGACTTGACGGAGAGTGGCACGATCTCTGTCGAGGAAGACCGTCTTCAAGAAGCCATAGGCACCCGTGGGAAACTTCGCGTTTCTGGCAAACGCCCTGTTCTGAACTTCTGAGCTTGCGCTTTTGTACGAC